GAACTCGTGGAAAATCTTCAACCTGACCTAGATGTAAATCACTATGTTTGGTGCCGTTTTCAGAAATTAGCACATTAAATGTTGTTTTCATTTTGCGTGTCCTCACATTTAAAAAAAAAAAAAATCATAATGACATCGCTGTAATATTTCAAACACGTATTCGAATTTCTAGAGAGAGAGATGGAGAGAGAGAGAAATGTCAACAATGACACCGATCGATAGCCCCGCCTCCTATTAATATTGATAGCGCGACCTAAAAACCACTCCGGGTACATGTCAAATTCCGGAAGACGACACTAATGTATCGTTGTTTCAATTTTGATTCATGGCAATAAGGCATTGCTTTTGTACATATGTTCTAGCTAAAATAACCATGTATACGTCGCTCTTTCTAGTGGTTGTAAAATATTTTGGATTCACTTTATTTTCAACTTGTTAGAGTAATCTCAAAAAGATCCAAAATAGGGCGTTAAGTCCACCCATTCAAAGGTTTAAAGTTACATTTTATAAAAATATCTACCCTCTCTATAGAGAATGTAGGGTAGATTTAATAGAACGTTTGTTTTAGGTAATTTTTCGATTTGCTGGTATAGATCTTATCACAAATACGGCAATGAAAGATATTTTATGAGAAAAAATTCGAAAAAGCCTAGGGGTCTATATCGAAGGGGGGTGGGGGGGGGGGGGGGGTGGGGTCCTGTCCTCACCTGTGGTTTACATCTGTACGAAGCGCGTTAGACCGAAATATCTTCTCAATTCCAGGTCCAGGAGGGCTATTAGAAACAATTATAAGGAATGTTTTGTTGTGGAAACGGTGAAAGAATATGTTAGGAACACACAGTTGGTAAAATTTTGAGATGACAGTATTAAGAACACGGAGAAATATATCGAGAAACGGCGCATTTTTTTTTTGTGCGCAATAAATATACAGTTTTTTCAATGGGTGGCACTGTAGCTCTCCGGTCTATCAATATATGTTTTTTTTCGGAGAGCTACAGTTCTGCAGCTAGTTGTTTGCTTTCTGTCAATTTTAAATTGGTACAATCTTGTAAAAATACTGACAGGGGATATTATACAAAAAGCTCCATAAAGGAGGTTAAGAAAATGAAAGATGCTGGAGTTTACTCTTATCCCACTTCCCGAATCAAACAATTGTCTTCTTTTTTCGCTTGGCAAATTCTTTTCAGGTAAGTTTAATTTTAACCCCCCCCCCCGGGACCCTTTCAAAATCGTTTCTACGTCACTGCTATGACTGCAATTTTTGTGAATAAGAGATTTTATGAACATGAATAAATCAACTTTATTTAAATAATGGGGGATTGAATTTCTAATATATATATTGTTTATAAATTTGTTTATTTAAGGTGATTTAATCTGAAATATTTCCGTTCCGTTTTTCTTTCCTCGTTTTAGCAATTAGAACCCTTTTCATTTTTCATTATTTTATCCATTTCAATATTAGTATGTAAATTGTGGAGAGGTGGATGGGGTTAAACGATTGGGTACTAGATATACTCGTATATTTAATATCCTGACCTTGATTGACTGACACGCCCCTCCCCCAACTGTTTTCAGTGGATACATATAACATTAAAAAAAAAACAATTTATCTCTGTCTGCAATGGTACATGTATTAATAACACCATTATGGTTATTCAGAAAAAGTATCAAATATTAATTTACACAGCCTTAAACAATTTTATTAATAATGTTTTGAAAATAATTTTGGCAAAATTTGATAGCCCCCCCTCCCCCCAATTTGAATAAATATGAATCCAGTTGTAACGTGAAGCGGTCACCCATCCAAGGGTTAAACTGGCTCGCCGTTGCTTAACTTGAGTCCTAGTCTTAGAGCTTTCTAAGCAGATTGGAACCTGACTTCAGATACGGCAACCTCTGCCGTCCACAGACACGAAGTCTGTGTATGGACACTAAGTCCTAGCTCTAAGACTTCCTAAAGCAGGACACCAGTCACTACGCTGCCACCAACTTTGTAACGTGAAGAAGCGGTCACCCATCCAAGGGTTAAACAGGCTCGCCGTTGCTCAACTTGCCCGGAGGGAGACTCTACCGCATCACCAGAAAAGCTAGCTCACTGGCGAGGCAGTACAAGTTCCCTATACATGTATACTGTCCGCTACACAGTCTTTTATCATGTATATAGTCAGTATTAAATTTTTACCACTTTGTACTGCAAACTAGCAAAGTTTTGGCTGCAGTAACGACTCATACTTTCTTTGGGGGGGGGGGGGGGGGATAGTACCCTCCCCCGAATAATTTTGCCAATATTTATCGTGGAGGGTCCTATATCGGTGGGGTACCTAAATTGGTGGCATCTCCTTTTGAGCTGATGATTTTTAATGTGAGTTCTGACTTTATCAATATATGAATGTTACGTAACACAGTAGTTTAAAGTATGTAATGTAAAATTAAAAATATTCCTAGGAATGACAGTGTTTGGTTAACTCAAAAACTTACTAAATTAATGAAACCTAAACAATTTACATGTAGATTAAAATTACAAATTATTTTTGAATTTGTTGAGAGTATGCAATCAAATACCTGTTTGTTTTCTTATATTTTCTCAAATGATGGAAGAAGAAGAAGTTGCTAAGACACTTAGAAAACTAAGTGCGTTTATATTGAAAATATATGATTTTAGTTAGTCATTCCTCCATGATTTTTCTATCCCTCACTTATTTCATTATTACATGTTTCATATGTGTTTTTCTTTTCCTTTTCATTTCTGATTATGTATATCATATACTTGTCCTCTGACCTGAATGTATATGTTGCAAATATTCTCCATTGTCCTCATGTACCTGAAATGGTTTGAGTGAATAAAATGATCTTGAACTTGAACGGGGCCAGGTGCCTTAAACAAAATATCAAATGTATACTTTGATGAAAAAAAATATGTTATTATTTGATTTAATTTCCTATTCAATTGTACTTGTTAGGAAAAATTTTGTATCTGTTAAACGTTAATTACCATGAAATACATGTAGATTCCCCGAGGACAGAACCCTATAGAAAATATACCTACTACATGTATATGCCCAAAATAGAAAAAAAAAACATCCAATGAACTTTTATTTTTTTATTACTTTCTATGGAATTCTTGGTATTTTTTTTATAGTTGATAATGTAGGTTGTCCCCCCTCCCCCACACTGAAATTGCTTCCTATGGGCCTGTTACATGTATTTGTTTAATCAAGCTAAATTGTTATTTTTTACATTCAAGTATCTTAAAATAAGTTTTCCCTCTATCATAGTGCAATAATACTCCACAACAATTCCCTAGGTGAAGAAAAAATGATCATACATAACTTTCTTCTTTCCATATTGACATACCTAGCTGTCACTTTTTACCCAATAATACAAAAGAGTTCCAACAAGGGGAGATAACAATTAAACTCCAGCAAATTGGTAACAAGAGGGTAAAATAAGCAAAAGAAAGTTATATGAAGTGTCCAAATCAGTTATTCCTCTTCTAAAAAATATATTAGATTAAGAATCTTCTCTTTTTCTTTAAATATCATAGAAATAATCCAAAAATATGGTAAAAGACTGTTATTTAAAATATGTGAAATTGTAGCAAAATATGGTATTTCAAAGTTAATTTACAGCAGGTAGATATTATTTCCCAAGCTCAATATTTTAATACAGAGTAGACCTAAGATCATTCTTAAAGTAACAATTAATTTGATTTAATTTCAACCTTGGTCTTGAGAGAAACGAGCGTCTAAAAATGGCTAAAAAATCATACTCATTTACTTAGGATCTATAAATAGATGTGTAAAAAATAAAATATTCATTTGATTTAAGTTTTTCCTCATTAATTGGACAATGACTTTGACAATAAAACAAAATTTGAAAATAAACTGATGACAAAAGGTAACTTTTTGACTTGATCAATTTGCATACATTTTCCATTAAATTTTGTGTGATTTTCGACAAATATGCAAATGAGCTGTTACTAAAAATAGATGCAAGGTTCGACATTTTTTTGTGGATATTCTGACTTCTACCTTTATGTAGAAAATTTTAAGCCACTAAAAATTCCTAAGTTGCAACCTTCCATTTGGACGATTTTTTGAATTTTGCATGGTTTTCTCGCAGACTGGCTCTTAATTCGAATTTCATGGTAACGTACATTTCAGTAACGTACATTTCAAATGATCACTTTTAATGTAAAAAATAATTTTTAATTGTGTTAAGCAAAACGTCTTTGCCAGTTTACAGGATACAAGGGGTTGCTTATTCAGAGTCGTCTCATATTTTCTACTTAATATATATTCTTAATGGAAGAATATAGGTAACGTACATTTCTTTCTTATCTCTACGATTGAAAATGTCTTTCATTCCGTAAACATATTTATAAAAGTTGCTCAAATTGTTCATTTTCATGTTACATTATCTAAGTAGGAGTAATTAATCCTTTGAAATTTCAAATTTAGCCCATCAATAAATAAAGGAGAACAAAACTATCAAGTGTATAATCTTTGTGTTTGCTTGTAATTTGGTTGAAATAGAATTAAGCGACAGGGACATTGAACAATAAAAATTATTTATTATCACAAAGAAAATGTATTTATTGTTATGAAAAGAAATATATATGATACAAGGTTTTAACTTATCAGAAAATTTTTACTTGAGAATCAAAACTATATATTACACAGAGGGGATTCAGAATAATATTTGCCTCGGCGACAGTAACGTACATTTCAAATAGGCTACTATATTTGAATTTGGAACTCCTTAAATACCTTTTCAGATCGATAATTATATGAATTCTTATTTATTGTTATATGACTATTTATAATGTTGATTTAAAAATTACATCAGTGGTATTTCTTTTAAATGAAAATGAGGCGACATTATTTGAGCCCTTATATTGAGAATGGGTGATATGACAAAACAAACACAAAAAATAAGCAAAGAAAACTAAATCAAATTGAAATGATACATTGCTTTCTCAATAAAATTTTATTTTTCAGTCCTCAACAGAAGTTGTGCTGGGAGCTGAGTTCCACCCCCTGGAGGAGAACAGCATCATCACCTGCGGGGGTCAAGGGCAGGTGTCCTTCTGGACGTTAGAGGGAGACTCCTTCTCGGAGAAAACAGGAATATTTCATGTACAATGAAACATTAAAAACAATAGGTTCTGCTTAATAAGATTTTTGGTTCTTGTCCATATGTTGATGGTCTTCTTTAAATGTCATTTATTACCCTTGTACACATGTATTGCAGTAATTTTTTTCTTCCTAGGACTATGAAAAGCCAAAGTATGTGTCATGTCTAGCATTTGCTGAAAATGGGGATGTTCTTACTGGAGATTCAAATGGAAACATTTTCATCTGGCCACAAGGTAAGCTTGGATCACAGCTCTAGGGATTTCACCTTCTTTTATTAGTAAGTGAGATAAATTCACCTTCCTTAATATAATTTTTTTTTCTAATTCAAATTGATGAACATGTTTCTTGTAATTGATCAGTTTCCTTTAGAAACCTGATTGTACATATTTTGAAAATGAACTTAAACGACTCAAGTTTTAATTATTTTTAAAGGAAGCAATACAATTTCCCAAGCCATTGAGGGAGCACATGAGGGTGGGGTTTTCACTGTATGTGTAATGAAAGATGGAACTGTGTTGTCTGGAGGTGGAAAAGACAGAAAGATCATACAGTATGACAGTGCCTACAACAAGACAGGGGTAGAGACAGAGGTAATTAAGACAGCTCCTACACAAAGACAGGGGTAGAGACAGAGGTAATTATGTCAGCTCCTACACAAAGACAGGGGTAGAGACAGAGGTAATTAAGTCAGCTCCTACACAAAGACAGGGGTAGAGACAGAGGTAATTAAGTCAGCTCCTACACAAAGACAGGGGTAGAGACAGAGGTAATTAAGTCAGCTCCTACACAAAGACAGGGATAGAGACAGGGGCAATTAAGTCATCTTCTACATAAAGACAGGAGTGGAGACAGAGGTAATTAAGACAGCTCCTACACAAAGACAGGGGTAGAAACAGAAGTAATTAAGACAGCTCCTACACAAAGACAGGGGTAGAGATAGAGGTAATTAAGACAACTCCTACACAAAGACAGGGGTAGAGACAGAGGTAATTAAGTCAGCTCCTACACAAAGACAGGGGTAGAGACAGAAGTAATTAAGTCAGCTCCTACACAAAGACAGGGGTAGAGACAGAGGTTATTAACACAGCATCTCGACAAAGACAACAGTCAGAATTAGTTTGTCTTGCTTGTAGATTTTCTTCTTTGCCATATTCTTATGTGCAAATATTTATGAATCGTTCTCTTTTATCAGTGCTTCAGAATCTTTTTAAATATTTAGACTTGGGTAAGTTTAGAGGGTTATTTAATCAATGACTATTCAATGCAAATCTCTTTACCTGCATGTTTATAATGAAACAAATCAAGCAATGCAAGTCCCACTACAGGTTTTATTTAATAGATTTATTGTCAATATCATACAACATATTTCTGAGGCAACACTTCCAAAGAAGCCCTCAGTATACACCTCACCTGGGGTGCCAGGATCTACCTGGATCAGTAGTTTATTTTATAAATTATTGAATATTTCATAATAATAAACATTTCAATTATTCAGTTTGCCCGCGTGGCGCAGTGGTTAGAGCGTCTGCTCTAGAGTCGCGAAGTAAGGAGTCAATCCTTATGTCGCTGGTTTGAATCCCACTGTGGGACGTGGAGACTGGTCCTTCGGATGAGTCCGTATAAACCGAGGCCCCCTGTCGCAGTAGGTGCTGGCACGAAAAAGATCCCTCACTGCTCAAAGGCCCTGAGTGCCGAGCATAGGACAAAATTTGTAGCCCTCCACCGGCACGTGGTGGCGTCTCCATATGAGTGAAAAATTCTCGAGAGGGACGTTAAACAGCATACAATCAATCAATCAATCAATATTCAGGTTGTCTAGATATATATCATTTGAAAAAATGGTGATATATCAAATTCTTGTGTACAAAGAAAAGATTGGTCAATATTGTAAAGTAGCACAATTGGAGAAAAAAAAAAACAAGAGAATAATAATAACTGCATATTTCAAGAAAATAATAATTGGATTTTATAAAAAATATTTTTATGAATATAAAGAATTAGCTGCAGATATGTAGCTCTCCGAAAAAATATATTTTTTTTCAAAGAGCTATTGATCTGCAGCTGATAAAGAATTTGAATACACTCGCTTTCAACTAGAGGTACAAACACATGTAAAGATGTCCTATTACAGTTAGAGGAGAAGTATGGGGGTGTGAGGATGCTGAATGAAGGCAATGAAGGGATGGTTCTGGTGGGAACCACTAGGAACTGTATATTACAGGGTTCCCCTGATCTACAACTCAATGCCATCGTACAGGTAGTTATGTCATAATCAGACACATAAACAATAGACAATAATTTTTTTGATATCGTTAAAATAAAGTATATATTATATTATTTGTGTTGCCTTCTCTTCATTAAAATTATTGTAAATGTGAAAGGATGTGTAAGTTATCTTATTTGCCTATTTTTTGGTGATTGATTATCAAAATGCTTCTGTAGGGTCACACGGATGAGCTATGGGGACTTGCCTCACACCCTAGCCAGCCTCAGTTCTTGACCTGTGGGTCAGACAAGCAGGTCTATATGTGGGACAGCACAAGTCGTTCAGTCATCTGGTCTACAGAAGTCTCAGTAAGTATAGACTAAAGAAAGATTCTGATAGGATTGGAGTTTATTAATACCATTATTAGTGTATTATATTATGTTGATGACCATTGACCTGTTAAGCTGATACCCTGACCTCTGATTGGTTTTCAACCATAAGCTGTGTTTTTGTCTTTGAAAATTTATGATTTTACCTTGAATGAAAATATTTAATTTTATTCATTAGACAATAACATTTACATAACTCTAATGACAATCAAATGTAGAGGAGGATCTTGTTAATTGTAATTAACAAGATGTACTCTACAATGAGCTTTGTAAAGTAATATAATTACAATCTCTCCATTGCTATATATAAATGCACTTAGTGATCAAACAAAAGTGAGATCTGAAAACTTTGAGCCATTTTAGGAGCCAGCCCACAGCTGCTGTTTTTACCCTGAAGGAAGTGTTGCTGCCATTGGGAGTGGGACGGGAGCCTGGTTTGTTCTGGACATGGAGACACAAGAAGTGGTCACTAGTAACACTGACGGCAGCGAACAGATAGAGTGTGTCCAGTACTCACCAGGTAACTAGTCAGTAACAGATCGAGTGTGTCCAGTACTCACCAGGTAACTAGTCAGTAACAGATTGAGTATGTTCAGTACTCACCAGGTAACTAGTCAGTAACAGATTGAGTGTGTTCAGTACTCACCAGGTAACTAGTCAGTAACAGATCGAGTGATTGATTGATCTGTAGTCTACAAAGTGTATGTTCATAATTTTATATACAGACTCTGGTGGTCAATGATCATTGGCAAAATTTAACTGGTTTTTTGTTGTTGTAATTTTGTTGGTAGCTCATATATGCAAGAGATCTTACTTATAACTATGCTGAAAAATAATTGTTTATAGATGATTTAATTTTTTGGTCTCTCATGAACATTGATTTCACAATAGTCATGTTCACACAAGTTCTATTTGGAATCATAATTTATTATTATATGCCTATTGAAACAAACACTGGATCATGATAGTTCAGTAATAAAAAATTGTCTTCAAGCATTTGTAGGTTTTGTCAGTAAAAATGAATCAATATGCAAACATCTATTATGAAAAAAAAGTTTTATGAAGTTCCAATTAGGAATAGATATACCCTAGTATATGGTATATCTGGAGACTAAATTCTTTTACAGATGGCAGCTACCTTGCTCTTGGATCCAGAGATAATCACATCTACATCTATGAAGTAGCAGATGGAGGAAAATCATATAATGCGGTTGGACAATGCACAGTAAGTAAATTATGATTACAGTTTCCTTTGTTGTTTTGTAAAAATTTATAAAACTTGTGTTTGAGTGTTGATTAGCTATAGAGAATGAATTTTGTCAGGAAAATTTATTTCTGGAAGATTTTTAAAAAATGTGCTTCAGGTTTCTGTAGTCAATTATTATGCATGTTTGCATAGCATACAGTTTGTACTTTTACTATTTTATTACCATCTTTGTTTTCAATAGGGACACAGCAGCTTTGTGACACATCTAGATTGGTCGGCTGATGGTTCCTACCTACGGAGCAACTCAGGAGACTACGAAATTCTGTACTGTAGGTCTCTATAAACTGACTCTACCACTTTTGCCTTGAGAAATTTGTTTTATATAATAGCATTACCTCTGATTCAAAAACATTTCAGGGATGATGCCAAGCTGTGAACAAGAGATTAACATTTCTGCCATCAGAGATGTAGAGTGGGCCACTGGATACTGTACCCTAACCTTTAATGCTGCAGGTACTTACCACTCAAATATCTGAATGATGGAGAAGAATGTATTCATTGAAAGGGGCAAATATTGAGCCAGCAGCAGTCTGTGGGCATGTCTTAACACATGCACTTGTTTGTGTTTTAAATAAGTTTCATAGTTATAGCAATGCATTTTCAATAATATTTTGTATGATTATTCCTATGTACATGTGTATTTCAAAATTTTTGGATAAAAATTTCAATGCACTTTATAGCTGTAATATGAAATTTTAGGTGTGTGGCCTGAGGGAGCAGATGGTACTGACGTGAACAATGTCTGCAGATCCCACAATGGTCAAATTCTGGCCAGTGCTGATGACTTTGGAAAAGTGAATCTCTACCACTACCCATGTTCTCAGCCTAAGGTAGGTGGAGTTAACCTCAGATCAATCTTCATATATGTTGTTAACCTCAGAAGTATCAGCCTGATGAAACACATGGAGATAACGAACAGTATTCAAAATCAAAAGTCCATAAAATGGTACAAAATAGGACAGAGCAAACACGGACCTCCAAAACATTGGAGATTGGATCACCTGATGTTATAAATACATCATGTGTTGTTTAATTTGATTGAATTTTATTTTTTAAATTAATTAATAGCTTTGCAAAATTGTAAAGTAAAATTACTAATAAAGGATTTGAATTATTGTCATTTGATAATTTTAAAAATGTTCAAAAATTGAAAGATGATACAAGTATAATGATGACAAAAGGCATTAAGAAACAAGATCAAAAACTCCCCTACAGCGTAGGCTTCTGTTATTAACATCTTATGGGGAAAAAGTGTTTTTTTTTTAATACATATATATTTTATTTTACAGGCTGATAAACATGTATATAAAGGACACAGCAGTCATGTGACTAACGTAAGCTTCCTGTTTGATGATTCACGCTTACTGTCGACTGGTGGTAGAGACATGTCCATACTGCAGTGGCAGGTCGTGTAGAGGAAAACAATGTTATTTACTAGGTTAAAATGAGGAAAAAATGTTTTAAGTTCCTTATCAAATAAATATAAATTATTTGTAATCCTTACTACAATGTAGTCAATTGTAAAAAATAAGGTTTAAGCAGCCAGTGTGAAGATTGCATGTTTAACTCCCTCTATGACTTTTTTAGTTCTTATAGTCTGTTGTAACATTTGAAAATGAACATGTCCATAATGGAATTTTTTTGTGTGTGTACCTTGATTTTTTTTTTTATGTATTTTTCATATTTTTTAGACAAATATAGAATAAACATTTTTGTATTTGTTCATATCTGACTCTTTTTAATTATAAATTTATTTTTCAGTATAGCATGTTATCTTTTGAAGCTTTTCTATGCCTATTATTTGACTGATACAGAATGGTTACAGAAGAAAAGTAGCTAATGTACATGTAATAACGAAAAGGTCTAGAATAATTTATTTTGAACACAAAATAATTGGCAGAATAGCTTAGTTAGCTCACACTCTCTGATTCCTGCACTAAAATGTGAAATAATTTACAAAAATTCAGCAGTACATTCCGTCTACCATATAAAATTGTGGCTAAAATGTTATATGACTATGTTGAATTAAGTTCTTGATTATAACACAGACACATCGGTTAATTCTGTATATGGCCGTTCTTTATCATTTGTTCCCTGTTCTGGGTTCAGTGAGGCATAGGCAGACGTGGGACGATTTGAGGGAGACTGGGAATTGAACAAAGATTCTGATTGTTTTCTTAGTTCTGTGTAAGTCTGTTCTGTTGTTCCATCACTCTGTCCGGGGTTCAGTTTGGTGTAGATAGAACTCTGGTGATTTATAGACCCAGTGGAAGTGGACAGGGGTTTAAATGTTTCAGTTAGTCCTGTGTATGTATGATCCTCTGTTCTGCCATCACCTTGGGTCGGATTTAACGTAGTATATGCTGAATTTGGATCAGTCGTACCTTGCATAAAAGCTGTCAGGAGCATTGAATCTCTGCGACTAAGCCCTGCATAGGTATGATCTGTAGAATCCATACTATGGCCTGGGTTCAGGGAAGTGTACGTTGAATCAGAACGAGTCATCTTATAGCGTTCTAGTGAGACCATTGATGGTTCCTCATCATTGCAGGTTAGGTCTCTGGTGTACAAAAAAGAAACTGTCGAGTTGAAATAACAGCATATACAGGTACATTTGCTTAAAAGCAACAAAGTGACTTTTTTCTAATCATTCCTAATAATGGGCTATTGGACAGTACTCCAACATTGACAAAGTCAACAAGACTCAAGAAAAAAGAAAAACTGCAATATTTTTTTGAAAAAATAAGCACCTGAACATTTTTTTTACTTACATTGTGGCAATATTTCAATTTAATAAAACTACTGAAATCAGTCAATAACTTTATGAGATACCAGTACTGTAAACCAACTTTTATTCGCGACGACTTTATTTCGCGATTTGCCGGGGGTAAACCAGCTTATTTAGGTTTCTGACACATAGACTTAATTTCTCGCACGCGAATAAAAGTTGGTTTACAGTATATTTTAGGTCAGCTTACTGCTGAATAGGGAGAACAATTTGACCCAAAATGGTTTATGGAAGCACAATGCAGCAAAATATCATACAATGTTGATTTAAAATCTTGATTTTATGTCATATTTCACCTTTTTTTCCATCTTTTATTGTACATTCTTATGGAGAAGATACCAATTCCAATACATATAAAGAATAATGCTCCACTGAGTGTTAATCCAATAAGTAAACCATTGTCATCAGAGGAATCTGAAAAGAGAGCCTAAAATAGAAGAAGGTTCAAACAAAATTTTGATTTTGTTTTTGATTTTCTTTTAAATCAAATGTAGGTTTACATTCATTTCATTGACATAGGCAATAAAGACTTGCAGTGAATATGATATGGTCTAGTCTTTGTTTTCTCTTGTTTTCTACGAAGGATTTTATTATTGTCATTAAATTTCCTGTCACTATAAACACAACTGCCATTGGTAAACATTCAAGAAATTTCATACTGAACTACAACAGTAGAATGAATCTTTGGTTTTTAGGGACTTTTTCCATTACCTGATCAATATGTTTACCTGTAAGTTGAATAACAAACTCAGAATCAGTTGTATTGTTGTCTGTAGTGGATTCAGTCATCATCTGAGAATAGGTAGTTGACTTGACTAGGGATTCAGTGGTAATTGTTATTGATGTCTTTGTTAAGGCCTCAGTAGTAGGTCCAGTGTTGGTAAGATTTAAGGCCTGTGTAGTAGGTCCAGTGTTGGTAAGATTAAAGGCCTCAGTAGTAAATCCAGTGTTGGTAAGATTGAAGGCCTCAGTAGTAGGCCCAGTGGAGGTTAGATTAAAGGCCCCAGTAGTAGGTCCAGTGTTGGTAAGATTGAAGGCTTCAGTAGTAGGCCCAGTGGTGGTTAGATTAAAGGCCTCAGTAGAAGGCCCAGTGGTGGTAAGATTAAAGGCCTCAGTAGTAGATCCAGTGTTGGTAAGATTCAAGGCCTCGGTAGTAGGCCCAGTGGTGGTTAGATTAAAGGTCTCAGCAGTAGGTCCAGTGTTGGTAAGATTAAAGGTCTCTGTGGTAGGTCCAGTGTTGGTTAGATTCAAGGCCTCAGTGGTGGGCCCTGTGTTGGTAAGATTCAAGGCCTGAGTAGAAGACTCAGTGTTGGTAAGATTTAAGGCCTCAGTAGTAGGTCCAGTGTTGGTAAGATTCAAGGCCTCTGTAGTAAATCCTGTGTTGGTAAGATTAAATGTCTCACTAGTAGGTCCAGTATTGGTAAGATTAAAGGCCTCAGTAGTAGGTCCAGTGCTGGTTAGATTCAAGGCCTCAGTAGTAGGCCCTGTGTTGGTAAGATTCAAGGCCTCAGTAGAAGACTCAGTGTTGGTAAGATTTAAGGCCTCAGTCAGTAGTCTGAAGTATGGTGTCAGTTGTCGTCTGACTAGGTAGCTCTGAACTTCCAGGGAGTGAAGTGACTGCAGTGGTGGCATCTAATGACAATAGAAATGAGAAAGTAAAATTTAATTTAAAAAACAGTCTCAAACTATTTCACACTCACAAGAGTGAAGTAAATATTTAATATTATTCCAGCCTATTACCATCCTTTTATACGTTCGGTTTGAGTCGATTACAAACTACCATCCCTATGTTGTTGCCTTCCATACTTTTGATTTGAAATACTAGTATACGACACATATGGAGATAATGAATAGTATTCAAGATCAAACGTCCATAAAACAATACAATATAGGAGCAGAGCAAACACGGACCTCCAAAACATCAGAGGTGGGATCAGGTGCCATAGAGGAGTGAGCATGCCCTGCTGTCTGGAGCAAGTCACAAACTATTTGCAAATCAATTTTAAGGAAACCATCTGTTCCGAACCCCGGTTCTTACTTAGGACATTGTTTAACGAGGAGAGAAGGAAGTCCAGAAAGGACATTTTGATCATCAGATCAAGTATAAACTATCGTTTTCTGATTACAACACGTCGGAATTAAGAGATAGTTTCCTCGAACTCGTGTCATTTTATGGAAGCTCTGTTGTGACTACCAGAATCGTTTACCAATGGATAGAGTATTTCAGACTTGGTAGTGGTCACGTGGAGAACACGAATAATCAGAAGGGGCCCAGATATTAAAGATAAGTAATAAAATTAAACTTGTTTTCGTGTGGTGATATTTAAAAATTTTTTTATTGATTTTTTAACGAACGTTTTGGGGGTGAAAAAAGTACTACTAGTATCTGCGAGATTTATTCCATGTATTTTAGAATGGTAATAAAAGACGAAAGAGATTGAAAACTATTGAAAATGTACAGCTATAAATAATAAAAGAGTCTAAACAAACTGATACAGGGTATGAAATTTCGCTGCATTCTTATGAACCTGATACACCGTGTATATCCCAACATGCGGGGTGTATACTATGTTGTGCGCGGGGTGTATGCTTCCGAAGCGAGAGAAAGGGGGTCGAGGTACGTTCTTTGTCCGTGTTCTCAACTTACGGATATTTTTTGCCAGAAAGCATGTGCCTACGGAAGAAAGCATTATCTAAGGAGTATATGGATACCTATGAATCCACTGGACACCTTCTAGTTTTATCAAACACCTCAACACAATTCCGAGGATCGGAGCAAGATTGACGCTTCACTGTGTTTATGATCAAATATCAGAACAAACCTTTGCTTTATCATCACTTTTATATTATTGTTAAAAACATGTTTACAATATAAACGATTGTACAAATTGTCTGTTAATAAAACAGTTCGTATATATAAATATATTGACGAAAAATCAGTGTTGTCTCCGGGGTGTATGCAACATGTTGTACGCGGGGTGTATACCCCTTTCTTTGTACTTTATAGTATCATTGTCTGAAATGGCATTAAAAATTTTACTTAACAATTGACTTTTATGAAAGTTGTATTAATTTTTAAAATTATTCACTATTTTTGTAATTTCACGATTTGCTGGAGAAAAAAATTGATACACGTTTATCGCACTTTTGGCTTTGCATGCACATGGAAGTAAATTTACAGGGTACTTTGTTTAACTGTTTAATGTAATGACCAACAATCCATCCCTTCTTTCAATTTAAAGGCACCTTATTCAGATCCTTCTTTAATAAATGCTTCACATATGCATCATTTTAAACATTAACATTTTCACATAATCTGTAACTTTTAAAAATATTTTTTAAATGACATTGAAAAATGTCTTTTTGTAATGTCATAAACACAGCAAAAAAGTTCTCCTTCATGTAGTATTTAAATGCTGTGTACTTTGCCCCCAGGAGCCCATATTTGGCAGTAAACTATTTGTTTATATTGAGGCGTATTGTATTGAGTACATATTTTCTAGAAATGGGCCCGGGGAAGGTGTGTTTGTGTCTTAGGTCATATTTTTAGGGGGGGGAGGGTCTTACACTACGTGTACATATACGATAATAAATTAGAGTAGGGGTGAATATGCATCAATTGATATTAATTACACATCATCGTAAAATTGTAATTGTACCAAAAACAGTTTTTTTTTTCAATTGTGCATGCCCTCAGAAAATTGTCGTCCTTTTTTACAAATGTGCACTTTTATAGCCGGCTTTACATGTTTATTGTGATTTGTAAAATATGAAATCTTTTCAGATAAGGAAAAATGAGTCCACATATTGCGAAAATTGAAAGGAAAATTAATTTATCATTATACAGACACATAGTATTACCCCACTTTTTGTTCCAGACACAACTTTTTCACTATAGAATATGTTCATCGAAAGACAGCTTGCCCCCCCCCTCCCCCCTCTTATGTTGCACGATAGTCAAATAATGGTTATGTAGTATGTTTAAGTAAAAAAAAAGAATTGGTACTGAAAAAAGATGGGACCTACAATCCCATCTGAAATAGGAGTTTTGAGTTTCGATAAGCTCCCCCCTCTTTTTTATAGCTAGTCAACTTATGTCAAGTTTTTTTTTTTTCAGATACCCCCCCCCCCCCTTAAAAAAGATTCTACGTCACTACCATAAATGCTTAAGAATACATGTATTAATAACAAATGTTGCAGAAACAAAAATAATGATTTATTCATTCATGTACTGTTTCTATTATTTTTAACAGGCGAAATATTTAGATTAAAACGAGCTGAAGAAAGGACAAAGTGTCCTCAATCCACGGGGGGGGGGGGGGGGAGATTTCATGATTACGTAGATTTAGACCATTGCGCCATCCTACAATGTAGCATTAATTCAGATAGCAATCGCTCCTTGCACACCTAGTGCCTATTTTGTTTAAATATAATCGTTTCTTTTTAATTTTTCTATTTTGATTTTTAAAAATTTAGTTTGTTTTATACTTTATTAAGTTTATGGAAATAAGTTTTTGGTTCGGCATTAGTATTAAGGTCTTTTATCAACACTATCTGTTGCTTATAAACCTGTGTGAATAATATTTCCATTGATACTTCGCACTAACAATCCTAAGACAAATATGGGGTATACACCCCGCGTACAACATGTTGCATACACCCCGGGCACAACATTGATTTTTCGTCAAAATCTTTATATACGAACTGTTTTATTTACAGACAATTTGTACAATCGTTTATATTGTAAACATGTATTTAACAATAATATAAAAGTGATGATAAAGCAAAGGTTTGTTCTGATATTTGATCATAAACACAGTGTAGCGTCAATCTTGCTCCGATCCTCGGAATTGTGTTGAGGTGTTTGATAAAACTAGAAGGTGTCCAGTGGATTCATAGGTATCCATATACTCCTTAGATAATGCTTTCTTCCGTAGGCACATGCTTTCTGGCAAAAAATATCCGAAAGTTGAGAACACGGACAAAGAACGTACCTTTTTACCCCCTTTCTCTCGCTTCGGAAGCATACACCCCGCGCACAACATAGTATACACCCCGCATGTTGGGATATACACGGTGTGATAGAAAACGGAGAATAAAGCTGACGAAACAAATTTAAAAGTCCAGGAATGAAGGGGCGGGGGTGGGTGGGTTCAGACTTTTATATGATAATGTCACCTACCACAAACAGTATCAAATTACGAATACAACAACTGGATCACCCTCCTTAATCAACAATGATATTTATCACCATGCGACTTTTTCTTATTCCTTAATTTTGAAAATGCTACATGTATATCTGGACGCCTTTTCCATTCCAGATCTGGTTTGATTTCAACGTTATTAGTGTCCAAAGATTCATGTCTCTTTTTAAGTAAAGAAATATATTCCTAAGCTGGACAAACAGCCTTAGTGGATGTGTTGAAGTGAAAGAAAAGAATACTACATACTAGTATTATGTCTTACTATACTATAAAATGTCTCACAATATATTTCATGCTTTTATACACACACGTATATTCTCTTAAAATTGTAAAATAGTAGGTTAGTGGTTTAATATACCAGTAGATGCATGTACATAATATTGAAATTTTCCTCTGTAACACTTTATGACTCGAAATAAGCAACGGAAAGAGTTTCATAATAAAATACAATACAGGATATATTATAGCTTAAGCTGTTGTTTGCTGAATGTGACATTTTATGTTTCTGATCAAGTTTATCCGCCTCATACTATAATACATGTATACCATATATGTGTTTCTCAAATAAATAAATAAATAAATAAAAATGTACAGTACATGTATCTATGATGCAGCTATATTATACATGTACTGGTATATCAGAAATCTGTATGAAAACAGAATTCTGCGAAAAAAAAAAATTAGATATTTGGTCACTTTGAAAATCATCAACAAAGAAAAGTGACCATCGAAGAGATATGAACATTTTGACAGAATTTTTTAAGAAAGGAATCATGTGGAATACTATCTCTTTTATATTCTGATACCATTTCTCATAAAAATGAATTTTTCGTTACATTGTATTTTGTAATTTAATGTCATTTTCCTCCTCAACTTACAGTTTATTTGATGTATGAAATATCCAACAATTATGATATTTACGAATGTATCATCCACATTTTTTTCTGTCATTTAATTATATATATGTCAAATGAGTAAATGTAGTACTATATTAATGTTTTCATATCGCTGAATTCTGATTGAACATGCAGTTCCTCAGCTTAATTATAAACATGTATATTTTATTTATGAGGTAAACGTCATCAAGAATACAACTAATAAACAAAAGATTTAGCTCAATTTTTAAAGTAGCATCAGTAAAACTTACCCAAAACGTTCCAATAAAGATTTAATTCAAAAAACACGATATATATAACTTTAAGCTTCATGTTTCCCCTAAGAAATGTATCCCTGTCACAATGGAGTATTTAATATTTGTATGATACATTGTGCGTCTTTTTCAGAACGCATCCCCCCAATCATACGTTACAGATATTTCCGTTCTTGGTGAGTACCCCCTATTACGTGATTTTGTACATATGGATGACTTTTTGTTATTTTTTCAGAAGTTATTTTGCAATTTGTGAAAAGCAACTAAAGAAAAAACAGACAAAAGAACAAAAATACTTTAAACAGAACAAAATTAAACAAGATGTGTTTATGAAACACTATGCGCCCGGTGGCAACAAAAATCGAAAAAGCTATTTATAGCATACTAGCATAAGTAACAGTCAAGGTCACAAGATCATTGACCTTGGTGTCATTTGAAAGACCTTGATTAGTCGAGTATGCACACCAAATATGAAGTCTCTATCTTTTATGGTTCAAAAGTTATGGTGAGAGGTACAAAAATGCTATTTTTAGCATATAGGTCACAGTCAAGGTCACCAGGTCATTGACCTTGGTTTCATTTGAAAGAACTTTATTAGTGTAGTATGCATACTTAATATGAAGTCTCTATCTGTCATGGTTCAAAAGTTATGGCGAAGGTTAAAGTTTGCAGACAGAAAATCTATTTTTAGCATATAGGTCACATTCAGGGTCACAATGTCATTAATATTGGTGTCATTTGAAAGCACTTAATTAGTGAAGTATGCATACCAAATATGAAGTTTCTACCTTTCATGGTTCAAAAGTTATGGCAAAGGTTAAAGTTTGGGGACAAACAAACAAACAAACAAACAAACAGACAGACAGACAGACAGACAGACAGACAGGACAAAAACAATATACGCCTCGGATCTATCGATCCGGGCGCATAAAAACAAACAAACAAACAAACAAACAAAAAAAAACGAACCGAACGAACAAATCAGTTAAAATTTGTAACCCCCCCCCAAGTTAGGAAGACAACCTTATACTCTAATTCTATGTTATAAATATACTTCCCTGAGGTACAGTTTATTTAAAAAAAGTCTTCCAGGGGGGGGGGGAGCGATTAACAGATAAAAAAGATTCAAACCTGAAGAAAAAACTTAACAGACCTGACTGAAACTCCTAAAGGGGGGAGGGGGTCGAACTTTTTTCAGTACCATTTTTTTTCTCAAACACTCTACCACTTATTAAACCCTTCTTTCACTACACTGCAACGTGCCTGTTGAAAGGGGGAGGGGAAACGTACGCCCCAATCATGAATGTTCAATGCCTATAATATCGTGTCTATATTTGGGGGCGGTGGGAGCTAAGACCCCCTCCCTCCTTGGCCCTGGATCCGACTCCTATGTAAAGACATCACGGGAAACTATTTTTAACTGATCAATTAATTATTTATAAAAATATATTTTTTTCCAATTACAAGTATAAAGTTTTCCTTTATAGGAGAAATAAAACTGAAACTACGAAAGCCTATTAGGATCAATCTAGAGAGAAAAAAAATAAAAGGCGTTATAACGCCTTTCGAAAAGGCCATTAAAACTTTCTTTTAATATCTGGTCTTGGAAAACTGGAATCGTTGTTAACTTTCCTCATTGATATACTTTAACTGTATTTATTATTCCATGACATTTTTTGAAGTTAGAGTAATCTAGGGTGAATTAAAAAATGATTTTTTTAATAACATGAATGAAGAATATGATCAAAATATATTTCAGTTGGATCCATTCACCGACTCATTTGCCGAATTCAATATCGGTTCAGGTTCGGAAAATAGTCGTCTCGCAAAGCACCTTGGGTATTGCTAAGGTACATAAACTGTCATGGCGGAAAATCAGACAAGTTTGAACTTTATTATGTTTGTAAGTTCTTAATTTGATGTAGTATTCTTTCAAAACTATGACACAGGGGGCAAATGTACATATTTTACTCTCTGTATATTTCAAATCGATGCTTAATGACATACATACTGTCCAAAGGGGCGTAGAAATGACAAAAAAAAAAGAAGAATAAGAACAGCATATGCCCCTTATTTTGTACGCGCACAGATAATTGTTGTAAATCAGCATCTCGATCATGTAAGGAACAAAATAAGGTTATGAAACTTTTAAATAATTATAAAACTAAATAAATCTTTCAGATAAAAGATCTCGTTCATTAAAACAAATTGCTAAAGCTGTATCTGAGGCCCAGCACAATCTCTGATTTAGCTATATAGCTTGATTAGATAATTTTACTCTATTGGGAACGTCAAAAATGTTTAAAATCTTACACTGACATAAATCAGAGACGTAATATATTTTACGGTGTGACCGTTGGGGCGAGCGCAGTTGTACCATCAAAAACACTTGACTGCTTGATATCAGCCACTTCGAACGTCAAGCCGCACGAGACATCTCGACTAGCTGTGACGTCATACGACGTCACAAAGCTCGTCGGGGTTTACGGAGACAGCCAAGCATCTGTTTGAAACTATAGAACTAGTGTAATTTTTGTCGAAAAACATTGCAGAGTTATTTCTTGTTTCTTTGAAAGATTTCTACAAACTGAAAGTCTGATATATGCTTTACGTTATTATTTATTTATTTATTCGGCAATATTCGCACAAAGGACATTGGGTAGTGCAGGAATTCTGGGAATGTTGCACAGAGAAATTTGGCTGACGTATGTACAGATTTCAATCCGAATTTCCTCTGTTCTTACACGTTAGTCTATTGAGCTCGCTGCGCTCGCTATAATAGATGTTTCTGCATAAATATGATACTCTCGACCGTCACTCAGTACTTTATGTCAGCAGCTTTGTTTTAAAATATAATTTCAAGTTTCTGTAATCACAATTTAGCTAATACAGACTGGAAGTAATAAACGCTAAAAGAAGAAAGAAGTTCAGACTGAAGAATGTATCAAGGTGTAAATTTTTTTCTTGAATTTGTTCACATCCAATCAAAACACAGGGAATCAATAAATAAAATTAAGATTGGAATTATATAAGGGTATTGATTTTATTTTGATTAATATTGGCCAAATTTGGTTGTACAAATGCATGAGCTTACTAGTAATATCCTGGGTATAACACATAACTATTTCTTTATAAATATAACCCCTTTCAAAAAGTCCAATATTGATTGCATCAGAAGTCCTGTAGTAGATGATCTTTTAAGATAAATGTTTATTTTTCTATTGATAAATTTTTAATATTTTTTTCATTATGAATGAATAGTATAGTTTTGTAATAGGGTGAAGGAAAGGAGGAAATGTATAGTTGGACTGTGAACTGACCCCGGCCCTCTGCATCACTATAATCAGGTGCTCTACCAACTGAGCTACCCAGGTCGATATCTATGGCCCAAACCGTTACAGCTTTTATGACATCAGTAAATTAAGTTTTTAATTCAAATTCTGTTGTAACTTTCCATCTAAATGACAGTCAAACTTCGTTATCTTGAACCAGATGGGACTGAGAAAAAACTATGAGATATCCTACGATTTGAGATATCGAGGGTAAAATAATATGTGGTTGGGACTTCCACATCGCTTTGACTTATCCATGGTAATCGAGATATTGGAGTTCAAGATAACGAAGTTCAACTGTATATTTTCTTTTTTTCAAAGGATTACAGGGCAGTGGTAGATACATGTATTTGCTGTGCCCCTAAATATAAATATGTTTTAAAAGGCTGTCTACTTGTACATTTCTTTTGTGCAATGGTCAACACATCATAATAAATTGTTATAAAGATTGGAGATATGTTGTAGGTAATGTGAACAGAAGAGGTATGGCAGCTGACGTACGAGGGGAATCTAGGGGTAGCTTTCACAGTCAGTCCCAGTATTCTGAGTCTACTGTCATTAACCAGGATATCGCCGACCCGGATCTTTTTCAAGCGGAAATCTTCCCCACAAAAACAGAAAAAACCTCCCCGCAGAAAAATGTTAGTTTTGCTCCAGATTCACATCTAGAGAGGGCTAAAAGCATTGAAGAACTTGCAAGTAGACCTCTGAAAATACCCAATGGGAATGGTCCAAGTGCAGCTAGCCATTTGTTGGCTCGCTTGGTGGATAGATCAGAAAATTCTCAGGCCTTGAGAGTTGCCAGGGGTCAACCAAGAGTGGCCCCTTCTGTGGTGCCTCCTATTGGAAAGAAACAACCATCATTACCAGTAAGGTTTTATATATCCATTTAAATACAAAAATTAAACAAAAATTTAAAAGGATAAGCAAACAAAGATTAATACATGTATTCAATAAGACATTTGTGATTTAATGTCTGAATTTTTTTCACAACAAACCATCATGTTGACAAATAAATGTTTATGCAGATGTAAATTCTTGGGCAAGGATGAGTGATGACTCATAAAATCCATGAAACTGATCCCAGGTAAATGATAGCTTCTTATATATTAAAATGAATTCAATTTTAGGGTCCCTTTTCACCAAGCCCTCCACCACCAAAGAGTAATGGCACCGCTGCACCACCAGCATACTTCCGGACAACCCTTTTTAAGAAGGACTATCAGAAAAGGCAACAACAAAGAAAAGAGCCAACACAAGAGGATTTGCCGCTCACAGTGGATAGGTGGGATCTCAGTATTTAAATTATCTGATCTTATAAACAACCTCAGACAATATTTTGGTTTTTCTCATTGAAAATCAACTTTGTATCTGAATCTTACTTTTATTTAAGGATACACAAGCAGGTGCCCCCATCCCCTGCCCCCTCCATGACAATGGATGAGATCCCCCCAGAGGAGGCAGAGGAATTGGAGGTAATGGCCGAGCTCCAGGAACTCATGGGACCCGGGACTGAAGCCAGCACAGTCATAAGATCAGGTAAAATAGCACTCTTTCCTGTCTCTCCCCCACAAACACCAAAAAGGGGGAAATGAATGCCTCACTTTTCATCATACATTTTTGAGACATTAAATTTTTTATAATATTTGCATATAATGTATGATAGATGTTTAATTATAATTCTCCAGTGTAGCTTCAAGTGAACTCTAAAATTTTTGAAATGATTATGGACAGAATCTTTATAAAACGATTTTAATTTAATCTAAATATTTTGCTGGTACTTTGAAGCATTTTAAGGTAGTCCGATCCTTAGGTTCATAAAATTAGCAGTTAAGCAATCGAAAATACTCATAAAAATATCTCTGAGTCCACAAAGTAATGTTAATTTACCCACAATACATGTATTTCTTTAAAGTTAAACATAAAAGTTAATCATATTATATAGGGAAAATTGTCAAATCTCCAATATATATTCAGAAAAAGCAAATAGGAATATCAGCTTTGCATTTTCTAATTGGAATTTGATCAACAAATATATTTTAGGTTAAAAAACAATAGGTATCCAGTCATCCAGAGAAATTGTCATGATTTTTATACTTATTTGGTATTCTATGTCTTCTATTTCCTTCATGTATTATATAAAACATTGTGTAAAAGACTATTGCTATCATTGCAATACATCACAAATTATTTCTAATTTCATATCATGTTACTAAGTATTGGTATCTAAGACTTGATTCAAGAAAATATTACTTCTCTAAAACTGTTTTTATTAGCTCACCTGAGCCGAAGGCTCAAGTGAGCTTTTCTGATCACATTTTGTCCGTCGTCCGTCCGTCCGTCCGTCTGTCTGTCTAGCTGTCCGTCCGTCTGTAAACTTTTCACATTTTCGACTTCTTCTCAAGAACCACTGGGCCTATTTTGACCAAACTTGGTACACAGCATCCTTGGGTGATGGAAAGTTTTAGCTGTTTAAATGAAGTGCCAAGTACCTCTTCAAGGGGAGATAATCAAGAAAAGACAAAAAAATGGTGGGGTCATTAAAAAATCTTCTTCTCAAGAACCACTGGGCCAATAAGGCTGAAACTGATGTGGAAGCACTCTTGGATAGTGTAGATTCTAAATTGTTCAAATCATGACCCCCGGGGGTTGGGCGGGGCCACAATGGGGAATCAAAGTTTTACATAGAAATATATAGGAAAAATCTTTGAAAATCTTCTTCTCAAGAACCACTGGGCCAAAAAAGCTGAAACGTATGTGGAAGTACCCTGGGGTAGTGCAGATTCTAAATTGTTCAAATCATGCCCCCGGGGGTTGGGCGGGGCCACAATGGGGAATTAAAGTTTTACACAGAAATATATATGAAAAATCTTTGAAAATCTTCTCCTCAAGAACCACTGGGCCAGAAAAGCTTAAACTCATGTGGAAGCATCATGGGGTAGTGTAGATTCTAATTTGTTCAAATCATGACCCTGGGGGTAGGGCGGGGCCACAATGGTGAATCAAAGTTTTACATAGAAATATTTAGGAAAAATCTTTGAAAATCTTCTTCTCAAGAACCACTGGGCCAGAAAAGCTGAAACTGATGTGGAAGCACCCTGGGGTAGTGTAGATTCTAAATTGTTCAAAGCATGACCCCCGGGGGTAGGGCGGGGCCACAATGGTGAATCAAAATTTTACATAGAAGTATATAGGAAAAATCTTTGAAAATCTTCTTTTCAAGAACCACTGGGTCAGAAAAGCTGAAACTTATGAGGAAGCATCCTGGGGTAGTGTTAATTCTAAACTGTTCAAATCGTGACCCCTGGGGGTAGGGCAGGGCCACAATGGGGAATCAAATTTTACATAGAAGTATATAGGAAAAATCTTTGGAAATCTTCTTCTCAAGAACCATTGGGCCAGAATAGCTGAAACTTATGTGGATGCATCGTGGGGTAGTGTAGATTCTAAATTGTTCAAATCATGACCCCCGGGGGTAGGGTGGGGTCACAATGGGGAATCAAAGTTTTACATAAAAATATATTGGAAAAATCTTTGAAAATCTTCTTTTCAAGAACCACTGGGCCAGAAAAGCTGAAACAGATGTGGAAGCACCCTGGGTGTAAATGTAAATTGTTCAAATCATGACCCCAGGGGGTGGGGCGGGGCCATTGTTCAAATTTTACATAGAAATATATAGGAAACATCTTTGAAAATCTTCTTTTCAAGAACCACTGGGGTGAAACAGATGTGGAAGCACCCTGGGGTGTAGATTCTAAATTGTTCAAATCATGATCCAGGGTGGGGCCACAATGGTGAATCAAAATTTTACATAGAAATATATAGGAAAAATCTTTGAAAATCTTCTTCTCAAGAACCACTGGACCAGAAAAGCTGAAACTGATGTGGAAGCATCCTGGGTAGTGTAGATTTCAAATTGTGTAAATTATGATCATTTGGGTATAGGGTGGGGTCACAATATGTATTACAAGGGGGAAATCTGGTAAAGAACAATATGACAAAAGATTCTCAGGTGAGCGATGTGGCCCATGGGCCTCTTGTTTTTTTTCCTTTTATGGAGTTCAAATGTCAACTTTTTATAAGACCTTTTCTAAGACTTCCATAAACCTTGAATCATACATAAATGAATTAAATGAGAATTGTTGCATGAAAAGTTTTCATTTTCAAGCCTCATATTGATGCTTTTTAGATTAAATATTAATTTTTGGAGTTATCCTTCGTGGCTGAGGATCGGATATCCTTAAGAGCACTGATTTTCTGCTTTTAGAGAGTGTGGCAGAAATGGAAGATCTGGAAACCCCAATCAGCAGAGAGGGGGCATCCACTGGTGATAAATCGATCAAACTCTCCAAGAGTCACAGCGCTACATCCAAACCAGGAACTTCTTACACCAATTTCTCAGTTCCCTCTCCTACAAAGGAGGAACAAGAGGAAGACGCTAAGCTACAGTCTATGATGGAGAAATATCCCGAAACCATTCCAATTATTGATGAAATCAAGGATGATAAAGCTTCCACTGATGCTAAAGGCAAGGGAAAAGCTGACCAGCTGGCCAAAGCAGCCGCCAGAAAATCATCTGGGAGGAAAAAAGACATGAGTCACGTCCTCTCTTACTTGAAGAAAAACAAATATGATGATACAGGTAGGTTTTAATTAAAAAAATAATTTTCCAGGATTTTTTTTAGGGGGAGAGGGGAATTTTTTCAATAATAAGCAGTAAAGACTACTTAAAACTTTTTTGATCAATAAAACATGGAAAATATTAAGACTAGTGATAAATACTTAATGTTTATTAAGATTATCATTTTTTGAATAGTTCCAGAAAATGATGACATAATGGAGAACCTTATAAAGCTAAGGGAAAGGTTAGGATGGAAGACTGAGATTCCTCGTCATGCGATGGGGTGCAGGGCCGCAATGGAAAAACTGAAGGATCTCCCAGAAAATGAAAAGGTGAGTTTTATTAAAAGTTTGTTTATATACACATTCATACATATCTACACTTTAATACCTTTGTACCTTTTTTAACTTTTTGCATGGAGATTTGTTAATTTTAGATGATGTAAATCCTCTGTGCCAATTTTAAAAATCTAGACATGACTTCTCTTTATTCATTGTTTTAAAAACTGTTTATTTTTTAATTTGTTTTTTAATCTACTGAAATGAAGAAATTTATTTATTTGTACAGGAGCGAGCCAAAATGAAGGAGGACGATGGAGAATTTTTATACTGTCTGCCCAGACAGAGGAAAAATCGTCGAGCCAGATATGATCCTTTTGATTTACAAGTTGTCTCCCCTAATGAGGCCCAGAAGTCTGATCAGTATTACACAATATCTGCTTCCTTTATCACAAGGGTAATTTCATAAATTATAACCATTAGAAACATTTCCTTCTGTAGCATTTATAATCAAAGACTCCCCCTCCCCCAAATTATTAAGCTATTAAGCAGTGGAAGTCATTTTCTAAGGAGGGGGGGGGGCACAAATAAAATTCTGAATACTGGGGGAATGCAAGGCTGAAAATAGTTGACCTTTGTTTGACTTAAATTTTGATGCAGGAAAATACTTAACACATAACAGTTCTCACTTTTTTAATGTGTAGATTATCCAGAGTAAGTCAGAGACCTTCAACACCCCAGTTCTGTGGTGGTTATGGGAGAGAAGACTTTTCTACATGGTGTACAACTTCCCAGTCTTTGTCAAGTTTAGGTAAGGCAGTTTTATATCTTTATGTTATTCAAAGAGGATATCAAATGATGTTTACGTTCATAAATCACTGTGCTTCCTGAAGTACATGTAAAATAGACAAGACAGATATTTTTTAATACAGTGTAATTGAATTTATCTGATAGATGTTTTTACTATTTCTACATTGAAACAACTTTTCTTTATTCAGGTTATGGAAAACTTTCAAACAATGGAAAAGAAATGTAAGACTACAGAAAAGCAGCCAAAGCAGGTTTGTACATATAATTCATCTAAATTTGAAATATAGTGTATATACCATAAAATAAATGCCATTTGTAACAATTTTTATGAATCTGCAGTTCAGAGCTTGCAATGAGGCCATGTAACTTAGACAAGCTCACTTTTGAAGTCTTGCAGTCTCACTTATATAGCAGAAAAAGATTCAAAATGAGCTCATCTGATTATTTTGGTCCCAGAGCCTGAACTATGACAAATAATAAATATGATAAAGGTTTTCTGTTTTATAAACCATTTATTAAATTCTTCTGCTGTTTTGTATTCCATGAGTTGGAGTTTTTAGGGAATCTCCTACACATTTCTTGCAAACATAAAAGTTGATTTACAATTATTTCTTGAATGAAAAAAAATAATTTAATATGTCTTTGAAATTTTAGGGCTGTCTTATACAAGACTCTCTTCATTGCTAACGAGATCCTGCAGGGTTGTCTTGTCCATGTCAGGAAGCTGTGCGAGGCGGCCTCGGGGAGCCTGAGCGGACTAGGGGAGGGGGAACACGCCATCTCCCTCGTGTGTCTGGACAAGACCCAGACTCTGACACTGGAGGATTTCATGTCCATACAGCATCAGCAGGGAGATAAAGCCCTGAAACAGCTGAATGCACTGAGGGAAAAAATTATCAATTTAGTCTGGGAATCTTGTGCTGTAAGTATTAATAGCTTGATCTGATACTGTTTAACTTTGGTGTCTCAATTACAAATATGTATCTCCAATACTATTAAGATGTCAAAGTGAATTGGAAGTCTCAAACACTAATTTTTTAAGTATTTTACCCTTGATATCTCAAAGCCTCTGATATCTCAAAGTTTTTCTTATTCCTACTGAGCTTGAGATAATGAGGGTTGGTGCTAAAATTTAAATTAAACTTGAGATTTTCTTCTGTTTCAGACTGTGGCTGAGATGGAGGGCATTACTACAGGAATCCGAGATGACAACAATCCAAAGAAAGTGAAGATAAAGGTTCCTAAGGAGGAAGCCCCTGTAGCTGTCACCAGTAAAACCAAGCTACAGGAGAAATACGGCTTCACAAGCAAAACATCGGCCATAGCCAAAACTACAGAAAAAAGTAGTGAGTTTTCTGATTTAGTTATAATGTATTTTAGAGTTTTAATGGTAAAGGTTAAAGGTTAAAAAAAAAACATAAAGCATTTTATATTTTTGAGAAAGGTAGAAGGAAAAATAACATTAGTGCATTGTGGTTTATGATTATGGATATCATTTGAACATGTACAAAGAAATTCTGCAATTTTCTCTGGTTTGTGATTTTATGTGAGTTTTTCCATTATTAGATTTGAATGTTGGATTGTGAATACATTCTTTCTATATATTTAGGAGTGAAGCCATTGTATGCTGAGATTTCTGAATGGAGGAAGATCTTGTCACGCCTGTGTAGTTTTCTCCGATCTGTGGACTACCTGATTTTGGAGATGTTAAGACGTTTAGTGTTGACAGCGGTTCGCCAATTGCTGGACCACCTGGTGGCATCGTATAACGTCACTGATGAAGACGAAGAAAAGGTATAAGGAATAAGTATTTTTGTTTTGCACTTTGACAGTGTTGGATTTCATGCAGATTGCAAGATTTTGAAGAGCAAAATACTAGTAGTATAAAGTGTACATGAACAGTTGAACTTCATTATCTCAAACACTGATACATGTACTGTAAATCACTTTTTATTTGCGAGAACTTTATTTTTGTGTAATTATGCGAAACGGTATGCTCACGAAAAATTCGTTCTCGCGTATAATAGAATTCCTTAAGATTACATAGAGCAATGACCAGAATTCGTGAAAATTTTATCTCGCTGATAAAGAGTCAATGTCTATCTCATGAAAATAAGCGTTGCGAAAATTAAGTAATCTACAGTATCTTGAATACCAGAGATAGGTGGAAGGGAGTTGGCAGTCCCAAACACTTATTCTTCTGGGTTTTTTTAATCAAGATTATCTTGAATCATCAGATATTTTGAAGTTTTCTCTTGATCTTAAGTTTGAGATAATAGGGTTGAACTGTATAAGTTGAAATGGATATTCAAAGGGTAGATTTTCCTTCCCATTAAGTTGAAGAAAATGACTATCATTTCAAACCTATAGTGACAAGATTCTGAGTAGAAAATTGATACAATAGTGACAGTGTAGTGACTATTTTTTTGTTGTAGATTCAAAAGTAACTTTTGTACACATGATATCATAGTAATTGTATCTGTGGCTTCTTGAAATTTTCTTTAGAAGGTCATCTCAAGAATTAGATCATGTATGTCGTTTTTATCAGGGATTTGTATCAGATCACCGTATTGTAAGTTTCAAGTTCCTGTTTTGTTCTTTGTTCCATACAAATTGTCATGTTACTTTGAATAATTCTCCAAACATTCTGAATTTGATTTCAGCCAAAAAATTCCCCACCAAACTTAACATGGTATTTTACTTATGATAAATCCCTGTTTGTTAAAAAGGAATAAAAAATTATTGAAGGATTAAAAAAAACACACGACATTTCTTTTGTTTTATTAACCATAACAAGGGTTTTATTCAACCTTTTTACTCCCAAAATACTTGTTAATGCACAATTTTAAATCATTTAATGAAATGGTTTTCATCTGCACAAATTGTATTGAAAATTCTTATAAAGAACTGTATCCAGATCTGTATTTTTTTAACTTGTGCAAATACCATAATCCTGATTCATAATTTTGAAACTTTCAGATTTTTACTGATATTTGACCAAATATAGATTTTTTTTCTGATAAAGTTTGTTAAAGATATAGCTTTCATTTTAAATTTTGGGAACACATTAGTATAAAAGTTATGAGATTTATTTTTGGTTGGTAAAAATATACCCAGGTACTCACTAGAAGTTCAATAAATGAACATAAAAGGCTTAAAAAATATTTACATCAAGCTGAAATTAATTTAATAAGTAATATTTTACAGGGAATGCTACAAAAAAAGAATATTGGATAATATTGAATAATTGAATAATCAATATTCCAAGTAATTAAGGGAGTTAATGAACAAAAATTCTTATTTTGACAGGCTTCTTCTTACATACCATCTGAACACACCTCTGCTAGCAATTCTCCCGAGCCAGAAAACCGAGACAAAATTCAGGTCTTTGTGCATGAAACGTGTGCAAGTCCGTTGTACAATAATCAGTGTTTTGTTGCCTCTTGTTACTGGTCGGCTTTGTAATGCCAATGTTATGATTTTAACTTTGTTATCTTTTAAGTTCAAGAGCTTTCTTTATTGTGTGTCTGTAAATTAAGAAAAAAGGATTTTTTATCCTATAATCAGAGTGTTTTAATGCTTATAAGGATGGAGAGATAATTTATTTCATCTTATATCCTGGCTTTAAATGTTTGGTATTAACATTAATTTTTTTTATTTTTCGTAAATAAATAAATGATTTGAAATGTTGAATTAAAAAAAAAAATACACCAGTTTCCTAATAGTTGAATTCCCCATTCCAAACTATAGCTTTTGACAAAGTTTTAGTAAGCTAATTCTGCTAATTATTATACAAATCTAGAATTACTAATTATACATGATGGTACACAAAAATGTACCGGGTATAATAAAAGTCAAGAGAAATTTAATCCAGTATAATTCTTGTTACCCAAATGTGTTGTGCTGTATTTCTGTTAGAATTTTATTTCAGTTTTCATCTTTCTTTTTTCTTTTCATTTTCACTTTTATTAGAAATTTAATATTTTTTTCCAGTTACTGACCAAGAGACTTGTAAGAAACAAAAAAATATATATTACATCATTTTATTTATATCTATAGCTTATCATATAGTATATAAAACTTGTTATATTTCTCAGGTCTTTTTGCTTTGATGTAATATGTTACAAATATTACTATAACTGCGTGTGGGGATATCTTTCTTTTTTCTTCTTTATGAACCAATTTTTATTTGCTTTAAATAAATAAGTGCAACTATCTCTCACAAACATATATTGTATATTATGTGCCAGTCCCATACAACTTTCTGAAGCTGAAAAATCTTTATGCTTATTTCTGAATAAAGATTGATGGAAATAAAAGTTGGTTAACAATGTCTTAATTTAGAAAATAATTTCATTCCAATTTAAAGTATATCCCAAGCTAGCTTACCATTTAACCAAACCCCTGCAATTTTTCTCAATTTTTAGCTATGTGTCACATTTAATGAATTTTTTCCCCCAAAATCTTTTACAGCGTATTTTAATTTTTTTTTATTTTGCAGCACCTTAATTGGTTTTAACTTTATGCATGCTTTTATCTTAAATTAGTTGATAAGATGCTTGATGAAATTTTTAAATGTACATCAAAACTTTCAAACACCCTTTAGGTCAATTAAGTTATAAGAATGAAGCACAATTTAAAAAGTTTTCATCAACTAGTTTATTGCTTTCTTTCTAATTATGAAGAGTCTGTTATTTTTCTGTAACAAAACATTTGATATTGGATTTGATATTTCAAAACAAGCATTTGATATTGACTGAATCCTTGTTTATTACAGATGAGTGAACATGGAACTCATTCAGAGAGAAGTGACAGTGTTTCCTCTATAAGCAGGTAGGGATTCTGTTTATCACAGGGATTATCAAAGGGAGGGGGGTCTTTTGTGGGCACATATCATTGTTTGCTATCTTTTGTACCTTATATAGTATTGTGTTACCCAGGATTTTGAAAATTAAAAAGAAAAAGCTACAATATAAATTTAATTCATTTGTAATTTAAATATTTTTTTCCAGGCCTATGACTGCGGCAAGTCACAGTCAAACCAGCAGTAAACCTAAGCTCCCGCCCCCACCCAAGGCAGATACCCCCTACGAGATCCCACATTTTGACTTTGATCAACCAGAAATCGTAGAGGGACCACCGGATGTAGATGAGGTAAGCTGTATTTTGTGTATTCAGGGTTATATCTCTATCATTTTTTTTTCCTATATTGATCTTGCAGATGTCATGTTAAAAAATTGGACAATCATTATGTGTAGTAAATGGTTGTATGATTTTTAATAGGCTTATTATTTGATTTTGATTTTGCAAAATGATTTTTAAAAATCTGTTTTAATGAACAAAAGAATGAAAAATAGTTTTGTAACTGTGAAGGGTTTGTAATTTTTTTTAATGTTTGCAATCTTAATTGATATTCATTAATACCCCAACAGGTTTTGGAGGAAATTAGACAGAAAGACGTGGTAGAGGAAATCATAGCCCCAGTCTTTAGTATTCAGCTGGTGCTAAATGTCCCGGGGACCGAAAAACCCCAGAAAGAGGAGAGAAAAAGACACAGACGAGGAAAGTCCTACTCACCAGACAAGAGTGGATATTTCAGCAATGGAAAAACAGACTCCGCTTCCACACGTAAAACTGTCCAGTTTCAGGATATTCATGAGACTTCAGGTAAAGATGACATTTTACATTTCAGAAAACATTTCATAAATGTATTGAAAATGTAGCCCTATAATTTTTAAGAAAATCAGGATTTTAAGCAATTTAAGCACTCAAATTTGAAATATCTAGGTTGAAATACATAGAAAAAGTAGTTTGGACTTCCAATTCCATCAAACTGCATTTAACTGTGGTATTCAAGATACAAATGTTTGGATTTTCAAGACTTAACTATGATTTGATCCAGCATGGTTTGACTTTGTAGAGACTGAATCGGAGTCTGAGGAGAGTGATTCTGAGTACTCTGGGGAGGAGCAGGACCACAGGAGGAGGGACAGCTCCGAGACTGAGGAGTCTGAGGATGAGGACAGGACTCCTCGCGAGGATTACGCCTACCCAGAGCAGGAGAAAAGGTAAATGGGACCGTGTTATCCTAGGACTGATTAAATGTTAATTTATCTCTTCAACAATAGTTGAGCATGCATTTTATATACATACAGCAGTTCCTCTGAATTCACTTTTTGAGTGAGGTGGGTGGGGGATAATGGTATAAAGAGGCCTACAAATTCTTATCCTTCATGAAATGCTTGATTTTGATATATCTTTTATCTGGTATTAGTATTTGTGTTTCTTCTTTAACCATGAAGTCAGTTCTTACACTGATTAATGAATAGGACCTTTATAGGAAAAGTTTATTTATAATTTATATGGAAAGGTTTGAAATTTTCATCAAGTTGCAAAAATATAAGTATGGTCTAACTTGCCATATTTTAGGAGTAAAGGAGGCAAAAAGAAATCCTATGTGACTTTGTCTCCAACTGAGTATGAATTTAAATCTGGAATCAGGACCATCATATGTGGATTTGAAAACACAATAGGTAAGCTTTTATATTTTGAATATGAGCACATTTAACCGCAGAAAACAAAAACTTACCTTTTCTATATACAATGACTAAATATTATTCCTTTTTAGCTCAAGTTGTGTCCATGTTAAGAGAGCCAAAATTGAAGGTATTTTATTCACCACCTTCCCATGACCTTAGATTGAACTTTGATCAGGAAGAAGAAAGAGACCGAATGGAATACCAGCGACCTTGGCCTGACCTTGAAAATCTTTTTGGTGATGACCCAGAATACCAAAAATATCTTACTGACCTTGGTTCATACATGGCAATGCAACTGGAACAAGTTAAACAATTCTCTCATGTAAGTTTGAAATTAAACAAGGTATTTTTAAACTTGAATATGGCTGTTCCATGAGTAAATATGATCTTCTTTTTGAATAAGGTTAAATTTACTTCAAAATTGTTACAACATGGATGTAATACCCAAGTGTATGCAGCTTTTGATGAATGTTTTGTTTAAAATCTATATTCTTTATCCACTTGTCCCTATATAAAATTTATGTAAATATATTACATGCACTTCCTTTGACAGAACTTTGATCAGTACTGTGAAATGGTGGACAAGAGTAAAGCCCTAGACATTGATGAATCCATGGCCAGACATGAATGGTCCACAGAGGAATTCAGTCATGTTCTACCAACCTTCACAGAAATGGTCAGATTATTTCTTCCCATATAATAACTCAGACTTTTGTTCCCTGTATAGTATCTATTTATCATGTGAATTTAACTTTTCTCAGAATTGTTAAGCATTAGTAATTTTATGTTTCCTTGCTAAGCTGGTAATCTCAGTCATAGACTGATATTTATTTCTTGCATTTTTTGGCACTTAAACACTTTTAAGTTTTCAAATATTAAATTTTGATTTTTAGATGTAACAAATTGCTTTAAATTTCTGTTTTTAGGTTAAGGAGATGAGGAAGATGACCGTGAAGAGGAGATGTGCGATGGTTCTGGTGATGAGCTCTAGCTTCAGGGATTCCTGTCTCCCCTACCCCCAGGAGATCATCAATAAGACCCACCATAAACTGCCCATCATAGCCAACAAAAGAAACGAAGATCTGCTTACTATTATTAAGGTACGCAATGAGAGGAAGGAAGCATTTCTAGGATTTTAGAAATTTTTATTAATTTTTAAAAATTATGAATTGGTAAGGATTTAGAATATATTATCCAAAAAGAACAATTAAATTAAGTGTATTTTCTAATTTTTTTGAATTTGTACATCTTTTACCAGGGTGCAGCAAGAAAATTGGAGGACTATCCTAAATCTGTGGAGGAATTTGTTGAACATTTGTCTTTCCTGTCCAAGATGACATCTGAAATCACAGCCCTTGATAAGGAGTTCCTGATCGTAAACAAGTTGTTCACCATTGCCAAGGATTTCTCTGTAAAGATTGAACCAGAAGACCTGGCCCTGTACCAGACATTGGGTCCAAGTTTCCAGGGGCTGAAAGTAAGAGACTAAATCTCGTCTGAAAAGCAAATTATTTAACAGTTTTATGATTGGGGGGAAAATGGGAAAATGCACATCAAGTATCCTTTAATAATTTATGTGGTAAAATGAAATGTCTGGACCGATATTACATGTTTTTTAGCTCACCTGAGCCGAAGGCTTGATTTTCTGATCACATTTTGTGTGAATATGGTCCGTCTGTCCGTCTGTCTGTCCGCCTGTAAACTCTTCACATTTTCGACTTCTTCTCAAGAACCACTGATCCAATTTTGACCAAACTTGGTACAAAGCATCCTTAAGTAAAGGGGAATTTAAATTGTTAAAATGAAGGGACATATCCCCTCGCAAGGGGAGATAATCCTTGACAAAAATAGGGTGGGGTCATTAAAAAATCTTCTTCTCAAGAACCACTGGGCAAGTAAAGCTGAAACTTATGTGGAAGCATCCTGGGGTAGTGTAGATTCTAAATTGTTCAAATCCATGGCCAGATGGGCGGGGCCACAATGGGGAATCAAAGTTTTATATAGAAATATATAGGAAAAATCTTTGAAAATCTTCTTCTCCCACTGGGCCAGAAAAGCTGAAACTTATATGGAAGCATCCTGGTATAGTGTAGATTCTAAATTGTTCAAATCATGACCCCCGGGGGAAGGGCGGGGCCACAATGAGGAATCAAACTTTTACATAGAAATATATAGGAAAAATCTTTGAAAATCTTCTTCTCAAGAACCACTGGACCAGAAAAGCTGAAACTTATGTTAAAGCATCCTGGGGTAGTGTAGATTTTTTGTTCAAATCACTTTTAAGTTTTGGGGCCACAATGGGGAATCAAAGTTTTATATAGAAATATATAGGAAAAATCTTTGAAAATCTTCTTCTCAAGAACCACTGGACCAGAAAAGCTGAAACTTATGTGGAAGCATCCTTGTATAGCGTAGATTCTAAATTGTTCAAACTCATGTCCCCCCTAAGGGCCCACAATGGGGTATCAGAGTTTAACATAGAATGATATACATAGGAAAAATCTTTAAAAATCTTCCCATCCACTGGGCCAGAAAAGCTGAAACTTATATGGAAGCATCCTGGTATAGTGTAGATTATTGTTCAAGGTATGCAATGAAACAATGGGGAATCAAAGTTTTACATAGAAATATATAGGAAAAATCTTTAAAATCTTTATTAAATCACTGGGCCAGAAAAGCTGAAACTTATGGTTTTGAAATTTGGTAAGTGTAGTATATTATTCAAATCGGACCCCCGTGTTACAATGGGGAATCAAAGTTTTATATAGAAATATATAGGAAAAATCTTTGAAAATCTTCTTTTATCCACTGGGCCAGAAAAGCTGAAACTTATGTGGAAGCATCCTGGTATAGTGTAGATTCTAAATTGTTCAAATCATGACTCCCAGGGGAAGGACAATTTGTTTTACATAGAAATATATAGGAAAAATCTTTGAAAATCTTCTTCCAAGAACCACTGGGCCAGAAAAGCTGAAAATTATGTGGAAGCATCCTTGATAGCATAGATTCTAAATTGTTCAAACAAGCTGTTCACCATTGGGAATCAAAGTTTTATATAGAAATATATAGGAAAAATCTTCGAAAATTTTCTTCTCAAGAACCACTGGGCCAGAAAAAGTGAAGCTTATGTGGAAGCATTCTGGGGTAGTGTCCTAAATTGTTTCCAAGGGGGGGCCATTATAGGGAATCAAAGTTTTACATAGAAATGTATAGGAAAAATCTTTGAAAATCTTTTTACAGGAACCAGCCAAAAAAGCTAACATTGTGCCCATGGAAGGATTGGTAGTGTAGATTTCAAAATGTAATTTTATATTAATTAAAAAGGGTAAAATCTGGTAAAGAACAGAATGGTCAAAGCTTCTCAGGTGAGCGATGTGGCCCATGGGCCTCTTGTTTGCTATAAGGAAGAAGTGTTTAGTTTGTTATTTTAATTATTCTTAACAAAAATTTGGATGTTTGTTTGAAATTTGATAGACAATTATATATTTTGTATATTGTGAACTAAAAGGAACAAGAATTTCTTTCTGTAGCACAATATTTTGTAAGGAGTACTTATCTTATATAATAAAAAAATGTTTTTGTAGAATGCCATACTGGTAGGAGAAGCTAAGAAAGATGAAAACATCCGTAAATTCAGCCAGGACTTGGATACGCTCATTTATAAGATTCGCACCAAACTGATGGAGATCAAAAACCGAGTCCGTGACCCAGATCTCCTCAGTACTGACATTATAGCAGTGGCCGCTCTGAGTAAGCTCGACTCGATTCAGAGCGAGGTGAGCTCTCTGTCTACAAAAGCTAGGAGCTATGCAAGCTACCAGGAGCGATTCGGAAGCTCACTGTCCAACTCTAAGAGGGGCATGTATGGAGAGTAAGTATGGCTTTGATTTTATGTAATCTCTTTCAGTAATTTTCGAATTGTTTCATATAATCAAGCTTCAGTGTAGAATCAAAGGTTTGACTGAATCTTTTGTTGCAAATTATAAGAATAATGTTAGCATATTTTTTCTTGTCTTAGGCGTGAAGTATGGTAAATGTATTCATTGTTTTGTCAAACTGTTCATGCATTTTAATTTTTTTGTTTGTGCATTCATTATTTTTGTCATGTTTTCAAACAAAATTTTTAATTTTTATTTTTTCCCATTGTATTAAAAAATTTACATAATTTCAGTGTGAAATAATACAGATTATATATCAGTATCTGATTCAATTGTCATTTATACATGTACTCTTGAAATTTTATCATTACAGAAAATATTGGGATGTATAATTTTATTTCAGTTGTGACAAACAATGAACAAGCTCAATATAAAGGTAGAGATGTAAAATTTTAAATATAGAATTTTCTGTTTCCAGGGAATACATGTTGATGGATCGCTATGACAGCCAGAGTGCCACAGAGATTCAGGCTGACCTTTCTGACATTGAACGTGACCTGACCTTGAGACAGTTGCTATGGCAATCCCAGGAGGAATGGGACAAGTTGTATGAGGAATGGACAGCCACACCATTTGATTCTTTACAAGTAGAGTTACTACAGAAAAATGTCAACCGATTCACACAAACTGTTTACATGTTGGAAAAAGGTGAAAACACAGGAAATTTAATTTGCTCTGATGGACAATTTTATCCCCATTTCAAAGATTCTTTTATGCTTAACAGTAAATGTGTAATAATTTTCTATTTTCGGGGGTTTAAAAAATGAAACTTTATATGTTTATTTAAAAAAGAGAGATACCATAGAAATTTTTTAAACAAGTTTTGTAATGCATCTGATTTGATAGTCATAAATTGTCTGCATGAAGGAGGAACCTGCCATGTAATTTTCTAATTTGCCATTGTTTTCTAGGTTTACCCTCTAATGAGGTCCTGCCCATTCTGAAGGAGAAAGTGACAGAATTTAAACACGGCATGCCAGTCATCACATCTCTAAGGAATCCATCTCTGAAGGCCCGCCATTGGCAGCTGATTGAGAGGCTGATCCAGAAGTCCATCGCCCGGGATAAGAACTTCACCCTGGCTAACCTTCTGGAAATGAATGTAAGTCAAAAGTAGTCTAAAAGACTTGCAACCTTAGAACTTGTTTAAATTATAGAGATAATTCTTTTCCTTTTGCATGAAAACTGATGCCCACTGGGTTTATTATCTAGATTTTCAAGCATAAAGAAAAGATTCAAGAAATCTCTACCAAAGCAAGCAATGAAGCCACACTGGAACTCATGTTGGAGAAGGTAATGAATATTTACTAAAACTTATAGGAAATTTGCAAGTAAAAAAGTACTATTCATTTTCCCTTTTGTTGTCATGATGTTAAATTAATTATTCTTCTTTCCTTCTGCAGATTATCAACTTTTGGCAGAACACGGATTTCCATCTGTCTCCACACCAGGGTAGAGACACCTTTATCATCGCTGGAGCAGACGACATCATGGCCCAGTTAGAAGAAAGTCAGGTTACCATAGGAACCATTAAAGCATCAAGATACATTGCTCCAATCCAGGCAAGATTAAACATTTTTCACCTGAAAGACATTATCTTTTATAATATCTTTGCAAAACATTAAACAGTGTTATCTCAACTTTTCAGTGATTTTAGATTATAAATATTATGTATTTAATTTCAGACTCAAGTTGACCAATGGGAGAGCAAGCTTGGTGTATTTTCTAGAACTTTAGATGAATGGTTGACAGTACAGAGAATGTACCTTTACTTGGAACCAATTTTTAGTGCCCCAGATATCCAGAGGTAGTTCATTTAGGAATATTTTGTGGGAGGAAATGTATAAGAATATTTAAGAAAGAAATTTAAGAATTTCAAGGTCAAAGTCAAAACCAGAATTTTAAATCTGGTGAAATGTTTTAATAAGGTACTCTTGAGAACTTAAAATAATTATGTTTTACTTATTAATTTCAGGACATTACCTGGAGATGCCAAGTTGTTCACTGCAGTGGACAAGTCGTGGAAGGACATCATGAGGAGGGTGGAGGATCGCAGGAACGCCCTGAAGGCGGCGACCACCACAGGGACCCTAGAAACACTGACTTCCTGTAGACAGAATCTGGAGAAAATACAGAAAAGCTTAGAGGTTTGTTATAAGATTAAAATTATTAAATGCATTCATGGGTTTCTATATTTTCCTTTCAAAAGATGTTGATTTATTACTGTTGATTTATTTCTGATAAGTGAATAGAGTTGTTTGCAGAGTTTGAAGTTAATTTGAGCATTTTTCTTTTTTAGGAGTATTTGGATTCCAGGAGAGTTGTCTTCCCTAGATTTTACTTTCTTAGTAATGATGAACTTTTGGAAATTCTGGGTGCCCAATCCAAAGATCTCAATGCTGTTCAGGTAAAGTTTGACTTAAATAAATTAGAAGTTCATGTTTTGAAATAATGCATGTGTCTTTTCCATGTATTTGAAAAAAAAAAATCAAAACATATTGTATTTGCAGCCTCATCTTGGCAAGTGTTTTGGCAACATCAAATATCTAGAGATTGGTCAGAATCCACCTACCATCAAAACCATGATTTCTTCTGAAGGAGAAAGAGTTGCCATGCCAAAGTATGTATAAATACGTGTTTCATAATTTGAAATTCTTTATTAAATTTATTATTCTTTTTCTTCCCTTTAAGGATGTTTTTTCTAACATTATGAAATAGGTAAGAGATGTTAGGATGATATACTGTAAATCACTTTTTATTCGCGAGAACTTTATTTTCACATAATTACGCGAGACAGTGTGCTCGCGAAAATTTATTTCTCACGTATGATAGTATTCCTTAAGATTATATAGAGCATTAACCACAATTCTTGAAAATTTTGTCTCGCTAATCAAGAGTCAATGACTATCTTGCGAAAGTAAGGTGTCGTGAAAATTTAGTGATCTACAGTAGTTGATTTAATTTTTTTATAGGAACATAAGAGCCAGAGGTTCTGTTGAACAATGGTTGGTTTATGTGGAAAATGGAATGATAGACACTGTCAAAAAGTAAGTAGTTTTATCAATACAGAATGTTCAGAATATTGTATTAAAAGAATTATCCTATAAAGTAGTATCACATTACAAGGAATCTAAATGGTCAATGTACATGAAAATCTGTTTAGACACCTGAAGTTAGGCTTGGCAGATTGGCTTGGAGCAGACCAGAGAGAGTGGGTCCTGAAGCATCCTGGTCAAGTGGTCCTCACTGTGGTAGGTGGTTAGAATTACCTGTACGACTAAAACAGTAAACAATTCATTTTTAAACTAATTTGACCAAGCAAGTTTCTTACATGTAATATTAAAGAGAACAGGTATTTTTCCCATTAAAGGCTGATCTCTATAATCTAAAGTCTTCAGTTACTGATATTAATATTTTATTTTCAGACACAGATTATGTTCAACAAGAATGTCATTCAGTGCTTTGACCTGCCCAATGTGGTGAACAGCTTGATTGAAGTTAAGGACAAGCTGGTGGACTCCTTGAACATTTTAGCTCGCATGGTCTCTGGCAACATTCTGTCTCATCAAAGGGAGAGCATCATGGCCCTACTGACCATCAATGTGCACAACAGAGATATCTTACTGGGCATGATTGAGCAACAGATCCAAAAAGTGGATGACTTTATGTGGACTAAGTAAGATATACAGATGTAATAAGTCATGTTGTAAAGAAAATGGAATGGGTCTACATTGAAACTTTTTCTTTGAGACAAATTTCAGTTTCCTGCAAAGTTTCTACAATTCAGTGATCTTTATTTGAGGTCTTGTCCATTAATTTGCACTCAGATGTATTGGACCTCTTACATTTACTACTTGTTTCAAAGATTGGAATGTGATATCTTTCAATTAATGTCTGTTTTATCTAAAGAACATGAAATTCTCCAAGATTTCTAATTATAGCAATCAAACTTTTTTATGGATCATAAAGTTACAATGACGCATGTATTCATCAATCTTTGCAGACAGCTGAGATATGAGTGGGATGAGCAGAGTAACAATTGTTTTGTGATGCAGTCTAATGCCCGGTTCCAGTATGGGTATGAGTACCTGGGATGTTCCCCCCGCCTAGTCATCACCCCCCTTACTGACCGGTGTTACCTCACCCTCACAGGGGCCCTACACCTACATCTAGGGGGGTCACCTGCAGGGCCTGCTGGAACAGGAAAGACAGAAACTGTGAAAGATTTGGCCAAGGTAAAATTGGATTTCAAATTTACAAGGGGAGTACAGTAAAACATGCTTATAGCAAATATTCTTATAATGAATTGATGCTTACATTGAAGTTATTTTTCAATCCCCAAGACTTTAAAAATATATTGTAAACTTAACTGATATAACAAATTAGGCTTATAACAAAGCAATATCATCCATCTCTGGCACTTCATTATAAGTGTATTTTATTGTACAAGGAAAAAAAAAGATTTAAGTCAGAATGATAGAACCATTTATCTATTTTTGTTGCACACAGGGTGTGGGGAAGCAGTGTGTGGTCTTTAACTGTTCGGAGGGTCTGGAATACCACACCCTGGGGAAGTTTTTCTCTGGTCTGGCTCAGTCTGGAAGCTGGTGCTGCTTTGATGAATTCAACAGGATTGATCTGGAAGTGTTGTCTGTTGTGGCTCAGCAGATCCTGATGATAAAACAAGCCAAAGACAGAGAGGATCTGAGGTTTATGTTTGAAGGAAAAGACATCAAGCTGAATCCCACATGTGGATACTTTATAACAATGAATCCCACGTGAGTCATATTGCTTGTGATTTACATGTAGCTTAGGTTCTTTAATGGTGAACTGGATTAAAATATTCAACCCTGTGGCCATTTTTGTAACTAAAAACCATTTTGCACAGGTATGCTGGGAGGGTAGACCTACCTGACAACTTGAAGTCCCAGTTCAGGCCGGTAGCCATGATGGTGCCTCACTATGACCAGATTGCAGAGATCATGCTGTTCTCCGAGGGTTTCATTGCCGCCAAATCTCTGTCCAGGAAGATTGTAAACTTGTATCAACTGGCCAGTAAACAGCTGTCCCAACAAGACCACTACGACTTCGGAATGAGAGCTATCAAGTCTGTGCTGGTCATGGCGGGTCATGGGAGATACAAGGAGCAGCATAAGTATGTAGTCATGGCAAGGTTAAGGGGATGAAACAATCTTGGAAAACATTTAGAAATAAAACTTGTTATGCTTAAATATGCTTAAATACTGTAAATTTTAAATGCTTAGAGAGCAAATGGTAGAAAGATCAACTGTTCGAAATTAATGAACTTTTTTCCCCCAACAAAACTATGTATAACATTTTTAAAATGGGGAAAGAGTCTCACTTTAACTTAATTTGCATAGCTGTAGTGCAGTTTCTTTTTCAAAAAGTAAGATCACATACCTTCTAACAAGGGGTATAATTAATCAAGATTTTTTTTTACTTTGTGATCATAAAATTTATTTTTCAGGGGTAACCATGCTGTTAACCTAACAGAGGATGTGGAGTCCTATATTTTGATCCACTCCCTGAGGGATGCTAACCTCCCTAAGTTTCTGGCAGAAGACGTCCCTCTGTTTGAGAATATCCTGGATGATCTCTTCCCAGGAGTTGTCCCCCCTGAACCAGATTATGGAGTTCTAGAGGTATGAATTAAATAAGGGTGAAAGGAACATCCTGTTTTTCTATAAACTGCTTGGTTTTTGGTCCATATAACTAACATATATATGTGCTTGTATTCATGTGTATCATAATCAAGCAAAAAAAATTACTAAATAAGTTCTAAGGTATTAGTACCTTTCACATTTATTGCAGGAACAATAAAGTTCTTTGACATACTTGATAAACTAATGTGATCTTTCACATTTATTGCAGGAACAATAAAGTTTTTAGACATTTGATAAACTAATGTGATCTTTGAAACAAGTGGAAGGGGATTTTTTTTAAAGGATTTGAAAAATTTAGTTGGCAATTTTCAACAATGAGTTTTTTCTTCTGTAGAGAGCCATAAACATAGCCGTTAGAGACAACAATCTACAGAACTGGCCTCATCAGATAGACAAGGTGAAGCAGTTCTATAATCAGATAATGGTCCGTCACGGCATCATGTTGGTGGGGCCCACAGGAGGGGGCAAGACCACGGTCAGAACAATCCTTCAGAAGGCTCTAATTCTGATGCCCACAATCATACCCCAGGAGGAGAAAGAGACCTCCAGGAAACAGAGCATGTTCCCTGTAAGTTTTCTATTTAAAAAAAAATTACTACAGAACAGTGATTTTTATTGCAAATTTACTGGATTCAGTGGTTTTAGTGGTTTTGGTGTTATCAGATTTTTATATCACAATTTAGAATTAAATATTTTGAAATGATATATGCATTATTTGTTCTGTGAAAGGAATATATTGAAAATTGGCTGATTCAGAATTATTTTATCTATAAACATCTTCAAAATTGTTTTCTTTTTTTGTCCACAGGGTAGCAGACTGAAGAAGGGACATGTTGAGTTGTTCTCTGTGAACCCTAAGAGTGTCCAGTCTTCTGAGTTGTTTGGGGACTTTGACCCATACACCAGGGACTGGACTGACGGACTTATTGCTCTGGCAACCAGAAAATTCTCCAATGAATTACAGCAACAACATGGCACACCAGAGGAGCATGCTGGGAGACCTGTATCCACTGGCAACAATATGGCTAACATATCAGATGCTTCTCAGGTACTTTGAATTTGAAGATTTTTAATTTTCAATTTCTCATGATTGCTACACAAATTGATTTTTTAGTGCTTTCTTCAAAAATAACATTTTTAGTGTTCTCCTGCAGTAAAAGCAAAAGTATGGATGAAATAAAAAAGCTGATATGTACATGTACAAAGTAATTCATATTTTTTGAAAATTATTTCTATCGGTACATGAAAATTCATTGAAAATGAAAGAATTAGCAAAGTAAAGGACAAATTCAAAAAAAGAGGAAAAGTTCTCGACATTATTTCAGTATACAGACTGAATAAATAGAGTATTTTTGCATAGACATTGATGCAAGATGAAAAGGATGAAGATGCGGAGAAGAAGGATCACATGGACAAAGTGATAACAAACTGGAGGTGGCTGATATTAGACGGACCGGTGGATACTATCTGGGTGGAGAATCTCAACACTGTACTGGACGATTCTAAGGTCCTCTGTCTGGCCAACGGTCACAGAATCAGTCTACCCAGCGGGATGAGGCTTATTTTTGAAGTGGACAACTTATCAGAGGCCAGCCCTGCCACCATCAGTAGATGTGCCATGGTTTACATGGTAAGAGACTTCTTAGTAAAGAGACTCCATATTGTCTCTAATATCCCAAGCTCTCCAGCCCTTGAATTCATGAGAACTTGACCAAAATTGTGTATTGCACTACCATTTTTTCCACATTAAGGAGGCTGGGGGGTCAACAAATTAATCAGAAATTAACCACCAGATTTAACTTATTTTTTTAGATACGGTAACTTAAGCTGTCTACTATCATTTCACAAAGAAAAAATTCATACATTTTAGTTTTAAAATTTGATCATTTTCTACATCTTCATATGGAGCTCTCCTTTTAAAGGAGATAAAAATAGTCTGAAAATGGCTGCCACACCCCAGCCTCGTTAATATTTATTTATGCTAGTAGAATTGTTTTTAAAAAATTGTTTCATTGTAGATCAGATGAAAAATTTTGACTCTAAAAATTGAAAGTTTTTGAAAGAAAAAATATTGATATGCAAAAAATCATTTCTTTCATAGGACCCAGTAGACCTGGGTTGGAGACCATTTGTAAAGACCTGGTTACAGAAACTTCCCAGAGAAATGCCAGAAAGTGGACGTCGACATCTTCAACAGCTGTTTGATTACACGATTGAGAAAGGTCTTAAGTTTGTCAGGAAGTACTGTAACTACCTGATGATGGAGGTGCCAGAGATGTGCTATATAATGACTCTGTGTAACATTCTGTCATCATTTCTGGACTTCCTGTCTAAACATGGAGGATTTGGAGCTCCAGGTATGGGAATTTTCTCATAGATTTTTTAAAGTGCATTTGTTTACGCCAGCAGTTTGTCAGTTTCAAATATTTTAGGAAAGACGTGTAACATCTAACATTATTTTTTCAAACTCATTGGGACTAAAATTTAACTTTGAGATATCCAGTGGTTTGAGATGACCAGGGTTGAAAACTTAAGAAATATGGTGAAGACTGCCACTCCTTCTCAACATATTCCTGGTACTGGAGATGTCAGTGTTCAAGATAACAAACTACTACTGTATTTTCAAGTTTCCTTCTTTCAACTTCAGACAAAGTAGAGAGTAAAGAGGATAATGAGGAGAGAAGACCAGAGAGTAGGGCCTCAAGTCGTAGCTCCTCCAGGGCATCAAAGAGCAAGGGCCTTAAAAAGAGGACCACCAAAAAGGTGCCCTCAAAAACAAAGGACGTCACCTTTAAGACGGAGGATACTAGTTCTGTCAAAAGTTCAAGGTAAGAGAAAAGTGAATCTGTCTGTCTGTGTATCCTGTAAATACCCCATAAATAATATTGCACTTTATGTATAATGTGCTTTAAAACGTGTTGTAATATAATGTTGCATTGTGATGTTTTATCATTGTCAACAAAATAAAATAAAGGTTATTAATGATATCTAAATGATTTAAGATTATGATTTTTTTTCTAGCTTTCATTGTATTTCATGCTTTATTATTTATAGCCCTGCTTTAAGCATTACCTTGTTTTTGAGATATATTGCAGACTTGCTGTTTAAAAACATATTTATGACAGTTTGAATGCAAAATCTTGATGCTGAAGACTTGTACTAAATGTAGTAATAAACCATGATTTTTTTTTTATACTTTAGTGTTTATATCTCTATGTCTCCTTTTCTTCTAAAGTTTTGTTAGTTCTTCACACTCTGATATGTAAGTAAATGGTGTTCCACTTTTCACATGTGCAGTTTTGTGCATCATTTAACTTTGTTTTTTTTTTTTTTCTCAATTTCTTTTTTGTGTCTTTTTATTCAATGTTCTCTGAGAAATATCTTTCATGTTCAGAAAGTGCTCTGTGAATGTTTCTGAAGACAGTCATATTTGTATGCAGTTGAGCTGCATTAGATTGACATTAAATTTCATGTGTTCTGCAGATTTGATATGAACAGGTAATTTGTGTGCTTGTCAATTGAAATTGAGAAATCAAAGTGCTGGAAGCAATAGCAGCATAAGAAGTTAAACAAAAAATGATTTAAGAAGCACAAAAACCATCTGGATGCAAAACTGAAAAGTATTTGTGTACCACAGTAAATATATTTTATCTGATCATATGGTACTAAAAGTTTTCATAAGAGTAAGTGAACGATGCCAATGTAAGATTAAGCATCAACATTTCATGTGCTTGTATCCAATTTATAGGCCTTTTAAGGCTATGATGTGTGAGTATTTGTCATGATAAATGCCAGTTTGCCAAATAGCTGTAAAGCTGTGCCAATTTCTTAGGTTTTGACAAGGAATTTACTCATTTGTAAAGATTTAATTTAAGCTCCATAATATTCAGTCTCTTAGATTGCACTTACATCCCAATGAAATGACAGTATATTTTAAGTTATTTTTTTTTTTACATTTCCTTCTTTTTTATCTCCATATATATCAATGCACCCTATGGATTTAAAATCTTATGGGAAATGAATCCGATGTTTCCTTTTGTCAAATTCAATTTTTAACCTTCATCATTTTCAAACCTTCCTTTAAAACTGTAATTTGGAAGTCCAAAACTTTATGTCACATAATGTCTTTCTTTCCTTTATCAAAGATTATTTTATGTACAGATTGCAGTATAAAATTACTAGTTCACTGTACAATGAAACTTTATGTATCTTTGATTTCTTGCTAAGAAATTATAGCAAACAAATTATCTTAAAAATATTGAAAAGTATCAATGTATATCAGATGACAAAATTCTTAAAGAATCAGTATGACTGTTCCCTGATTTTGACTCTTTTGCTTTGTCTTCTGTAGCCTCCAGAGTGACAAGGTGTACTACCTACAGAAGAACCCCAATCAGCTCCTTAACATGCTGGGTAAACTGTTTGCGTTTTCTTTCACCTGGAGTATTGGAGGTATGTTCAAGCGCCAGGAGGATGCTGATGACGACGACATGATCAGGCGGGGCCAGGACAAGGGGGAGAGGGATGCCAATATCTGTAACGAGTTTGACAACTTCATGCATGAGTTATTTGAAGTGGAACCACCACTCGGTAAGGAATTCATAAAGATATTTAAAGTGGCTTGGTATTTTTGTACCCCTAAAAGATGGAAGAATTAAAATTAGGTGTCAATGCATTTGATGCCTATGTTTATTGTGCTGGTCAGTTGACCATAGATTTTCAAAGAGACAAATTTCAAATGTGATTAAGTGAAGGCCATCAATTCAGGTCAATGTTATACCATAGGCCAAGGACAAACATATTTTTTTGTTAAACAAGAAAATGTCCTCTCCAGAGTTTTTTAAGGCATATTTTATTTTAAATATAAATGTGCTTATTCATTGTGCATAAAATTAAAATATTTATTTTTTTTATTATAGGAGTAAGGTTGCCAACAGGAAATAAGGTCATCTATGCCTACTTTATTGATATGGAGTCTGGTAACTTTGTATCCTGGGATGTTCTGGTGCCAAAGACCAAGTCCCTGATAGAGAAGGGAGCCGTCATAACTATAGGGGAGACAATGGGGGTTTCTGGGGGACACAAGAAGAAGAGAGAAGAGGCTGAGATTACCCCCACTGTGGACCTCATCCGATTCTCATTCCTGTCTGGACTTCTGCAGGTGATAATGCTGATGAAATTTGGTTTTATTTAATAACTTTTAAGATTGTAGAATCAAAGCCATTCTGCACAAACATCCAGTGCTGCTTACAGGTGATAATGCTGATGAAATTTGGTTTTATTTAATAACTTTTAAGATTGTAGAATCAAAGCCATAACATTAAGTACAGTAGATTTATAACTTTGTCAAAGTCTTATGACTGCTTTTAGTGAAAGGCATCAATACAACAGATTTTTTTTCCACTTTTTTAGATAAACCATGATAAAATTGTCCAAAGCAAAGTCCATAACTTTAAATTTACAGATTTGGCTTCACATTTTGTGTAAACTGTTTTCCGTAAAACTATTCCTTTCAATTATTCAGGAGAATCTGGTGTTGGCAAGTCGGCCATTATTAACCACATGTTAGGCAGACTGGGACAAGATGGCGGAACATCCACTAAGAGTGGCACGGTGCTGGGTCAGATTCTCAGCTACTCCGACAAGACCAACACACTACTGGAGAGTATCTCAAAACTCACAGAAATGGACAACAACGACGAGTCCAAAAGCATCGACGTCCTGCTGGGAACGGCCAAACCTAAAAGTTCTACTGGAGTGATTAGTTCCATGATTCAGTTCTCAGCTCAGACGACAGCAGCTAGACTTAAGGCTCACATAATGCACAAACTTATCAAAAAGGGCAAGGACACTCTGGGGGCTCCCCGAGGGAAAAAGGTGCTGGTGTTTGTGGATGATTTGAGCATGCCCGCCCCTGAGGTATATGGAGCTCAGCCACCACTGGAGTTACTGAGGCAGTTCTTGGAACTTGGTGGATTTTATCATGCCGGGAAAGCTCATCTTGTATGGAAGGTATGAAAATAAATACATGTATAATTATGTGTGTAAATCTATTGTAGAACAATGAAATTTAGATCCAAAGTTGCCAAAATGAGTTTTTGAGTGTTTCTTACTTTGTAAGTCATGTTTAGTTAACTTACACAAAATCTACATTTATGTCTTACTTTACACTGAGAATATGTGAATTTTCAGGACATTTATGATGTCCATGTGGTGGCAGCCTGTGGACCACCAGGTGGAGGCAGGAACCCCATCAGTCCAAGGCTCCTCAAACACTTCAGGTCAGTCATAACTCTTCATGTGAGCTAAGCTCCCTTCCCCCTCAACCACCTCTCTGTTTGAAAAGTCAACCAACTTGCTTAAATGACAGCATAAATAAATGAAAATTTCCTCTTATTACAGCATTTTTGCTCTACCCCAGCCATCTACCAGGTCCCTCCAGCACATCTATCAAGTGCAGTTAGGTCGCTTCTTCCAGGAGGGGGAATTTGCTACAGAAGTGACAGAACTGCAGCTCCCCCTGGTGTCGGCTGCCATCGCGGTATACTACAGGATGTGTGGTAGCATGCTGCCAACTCCTGCTAAATCTCACTATACATTCAACCTCAGGGACTTGTCCAAGGTATCTAGATTGTTACCTTACCTCATTGGGTACCTCCTCTTTCATAAAAAGGAAAAAAAATTGCGAAGACATAACTGTAACCAAATGCATTGGATATCAGATAAAGAAGTACAGTAATACCAATTCATTTCCAAGACAAAAAATTGCCTGTTTAGTACTTCCATAACTGTAACTTTAAAAAATTTACAGGTTATACAAGGACTTCTCCAAGCCCATGAGTCTGTCATCGTGAGCAAAGATAACGTGGCTCAGCTGTTTGCTCACGAGGCCACTCGAGTTTTCCATGATCGTCTCATCTGCCTGGAGGACAGAGACACTTTCTTCCAGTTCCTGTCTGACACTCTACATGACCACTTCAAGGTTAGTTAAGTTTCATCTGAATGTAATGTTGATTTTTATTAGGTTAATAAAATTATCAGTCTTTGTTTTGGGTAATTTTCTAAAGCTCTTCTAGTCAAGTCATGCTGGCCTGTTGTTAAAGGTTCAATTATGAAGGGGGAAGGGAGTCAGGAGGCAGGAATACAAACAACATATAAGACTTTCTGATGTACATTGCGTTAATGTTTTTACCCCCAGATATGATTGTTTTTTTTTCCTCTTTCCAGGTCAAATGGACAAAAGAGAAACTGATGAATGAGCAAGTTTTGTTTGGAGATTTCTTTGAGCTGCAGGAGTCTAAGTCTGCTCGGGTGTACCACCCCATGTCTGACCGTAACAAGCTCTCTCAGATCCTGGAGGAATATTACCTCAGGATGAACTACGGCAACACCAAGGTAAAGGAGTACACACTAGATATAGGAAATCATGTTTCTCTTCCCTTTGTGTAGGACCCCCCCTTTTTTTAATGCATGCTTGCTAGATTTTAAACAAAAATTCCAATGTTGTTTTAATTTACCCTGTAGGAAATTTGCCACATAGGCTCTAGTAAAAAATCATGAAAAACATATGATGAAACATTTTCGTTATGTGTCAAGATTTTTATTGTGAAAAGCTTAAGTATCTTCTCCTTTTGCAGTAATTCATATAAAATTCTTGTTTCTTTTGTTTCTAATTTTTACTCTTACAGTCAGAGTGTAGAAGGAAATGTTTGATGATAGGTATAATATCAATCATGTCCATTTTGGTGTCTCAATTATTTTGTTGTATATGCATGAACCACTTTCTGTTTTTAGCATCATGAGGAATCAGTAGATATTGAGGTAGTGGAGCAAATAACCCTTGTGATAATCCCATATATACATTTATATTGTTTTATCAAGTTACTGGCTTATGGTAACCACAATACCACATACAAGTTTTAAGCAATGCTTTCATTGGATATAGGGATTGATTTTTGAGGAATTTTATATGTACACACAGGCAATTTACTTTGCATGAATTTTGAATTTGTGAAATGTATCGGATTTGTTTTTGTTCCAAGCCTATGTATGTACACAAAACATTTTAATATCCGCAAAATATTTCTATTTCAAAGTGTAATTGATATCATTTTATACATTTCCATACTAAAAAATTCAATTATTTTAATGGAGACAAATCAAAATCTAATTTTATTTCTCTGATGTTCCAAGGAGGAAAGCTCCAGGTTGATGTATATAAGTATAAATGTAAGTCTGGAATGGCAGAAACATGGCAAGAAATAACAGCTTATATTAAAAAAACAACAGCTTATGTCTAAAACAAAACCAAACAAGGAAAATATGGGCTATTTCAGACTCCTACATAAACCCCTTTCTCTTGTGTTAAGTTTCTTACAACCAAACTTTAAGATATCCAAGAATTCAAGATTTTGAGGCTAAAATACATAAAGAAAAAGTGATTATGACATCCAAATCAATTAAACATATCCATGATGTTTGAGATATTGATGTTTAAGATACTGAAGCTCAATTGATATATTACCCAGTGCATAAATATCTTTTTTACATTAATAGAGTGCCACATTTTTCATGCATAGGAAAAGTGTAAGGAAATCATAAGTGGTGTTTGGTCACCTATTTAAGCATCTATTCTCTCTTGTTTAACTTCAGGAAAATATGTATCTATCTTGTTTCAAAAATACTGTTGGCTGGTGACTCCAGATGGTGTTACCTATGTGGGTTATACACAGAAGTTCCCTGGTACATTCCTCACCCTTAAATTCTGCATTCTTCATTTGATGAATGTAGAAATTTTCTGAAATAGCCTTGGGTGCATGTATTTGTAGAGGAATTGATTTCAAACAATTAACAGCTGATAAGATATCTAACAGAAAGTGTTTTAGGTTTGGAAGTTAATGGGTTATTTACATGTAATGATTAATGAAATGTGTTTATATAAAAAAAAAAAATAAGATTTCCATTCAGAATCTCCAAATGCAGAGACTTTTAGAACTGAAAATGAACTTTCAGAATTTTGAGGGATAAAGAAACCAGTAACATTCATATTTAGAGAAGATATTTTTTTGTAATTAAAAAGAAAAAAAGGGATTTTCAATTTAGATACTTAATTTAGTATCAGAAGCATGGATTCATAAGCAAATTGTAGTTTAAATTGCACATTGCATGAATTTCTTCATAAATGACAAATACATGCAGTTATACCTTTCCATCAGATTACAAATGTGCACAACACTGCACATTAGATATTAGATATATCACATGGATATTGTGTATCTACCTCGGTAGTGGTATGGACAATCAAAGGGCAGTGGTGTTGGTCAGATAGTTTATATGTACCCAGTAATTCACCCCAGGTATTGTCAATATAGAATTGTGTTTGGTGTATGGAATTTAAATTGTTTTTGTCACTAAATATTTTTCAGCATCAAACTTAATAATTAAGAAATAATATGCATGTTACCGATGTAATGGATTTAATGTGACTTGTATATTTTCTAGCTAAATGTTTTTGGTGTGATAATCAAGGTAACGTTAGAGAATTTTATGCCAAGAAAAAAAAAATTAGTAGTTTTATTTTTTCTTACTAAATTTATATTTTCTTTGTTAAAAGTATTTTCTCATAGTTGTCTATTTAGATTTTAATTTTATGTAAATTTTATCAAATTTAATATTTATTGTTTAGAATTGCATCAAAACGTTGCTGTTTTTGGCTCAACTGAGCTGCAAGCTGAAATGAGATTTCTATTCAGTTAAAATTTGTTAAGATTACATGTTTTTCAATTTGCTTGAAAATTTAAAACATGAATTAAGATTTGTATGTCAAGGAAGCAATAGGTGAACTCCTTTCACAGTGTTTGGTTTTGTAGAAATAGATAAACAAGGTAAAATGCTAACGGTAAGAAGCATACACCTCAGTGTAGGACCATGCATAACTCTGTGTGTGAAATAAAAAAAAAAAGTGATGTTTTGTTTTTAACATACTTTATTTTATATGTTTCTGTAAATTCCTAGAATTGCTTATTTATTTGGACAATTTTTGTATTCATACAAAATCACCATGTTTTTTTTTTACTTGTTTCTTTTAAAGCACAAATTTATCATTACTAATGAGTGTGATTAAGTTTCCAGTTATTGAGGTGTGCAACAGTTTTCATTGTGCAAACAAATGTCTTTAAAAGCTTTTAATTCATTTCATATTCTTATTTCATTTGGTTTTCTTTCCCATATGCAGGCTACACAAATGGTGTTCTTCAAAGATGCAGTGGAGCACATCACTCGCGCAGCCAGAGTGTTCAGACAGCCCGGGGGTCACATGTTACTGGTATGTGTTACATACAATATTACGATTCTACTGATAGATATATTATAATTGTCAATTTGTTCTACTGTTGTAATATATTTTATTTTGTTTTTTCATCTGGAACACTTATTTCTCTTACTTTATAAGTTTTGGTGTAGAAATATATTGTTAACAGTTTTTTAAGTCTAAAATTCTTTTAATTTGTAACAGGTTGGTATGGATGGAACAGGGAAATCCACCATTGTCCAGCTGGCCAGTCACATTGCTGGGTGTGAATTGTTTAAACTGTCCCTCCACAGAGGCTATGGGACCACAGAGTTCAGAGAAGACCTCTCTAAAGTGTTCAAGTACAGCGGGGTCAAGGGCACAAAGATCGTCTTCTTACTGACAGATTCTGATATTGTCAAGGTAGCAACTTAAAATATAAAGAAACAAGTTAAAATCACCCTTGAAATAAAACAGACTTACATAAACACTAGAAAAATATGACTTGATATACTTTGTCTCTTTTAAATATAAAGGTTTTTAAATTGATGCATGGTTTCATTAAATCAATGTAAATAAAAAAAAAATTAGCCAAAAAAATTTTTTTTTTTTTTTTTTAAGGAATCATTCCTTGAAGACATCAACTGTATCCTGAACTCTGGTGAGGTTCCTGACTTGTTTGACTCGGAGGAGAGAGATGGGATCAGAATGGACCTCAAACAGGCTGCCTCGGAGGCGGACATTCCCGACACTAAGGAGTCCGTGTACCAGTTCTTTATTCACCGCGTCAGACAGAACCTCCACGTGGTGCTGACCATGAGTCCCGCCGGCGGCAAGTTCAGACAGCGATGCCGCATGAACCCTGCCCTCATTAACTGCTGCACCATTGACTGGTATGATGAGTGGGAGGAGGAGGCCATGTTGAATGTGGCCCAGGTCTTCTTCTCTAACGCAGAGTTTATAACCAGTGAAGACTTGGATATAGAGGTAAGAGGTCAAGGAAGGGAAAGAAAGAAAAGCAATAATGTCTTAATATTTATTTTATATCTGATTTCGTATGAATCAACATGTAGTGGATGAAACATTTGAATAGTTGCTGATAAATTCTTGGCATTGTCTCTTTGTTTTAGGCATTGAAGACGAAGGTAGGTCAGGTGTGTGTGGACATTCACAAGTCGATCGGGAAAATGTCGGTGAGGTACTGGGAGGAGATGAGGCGCCATTACTACTCCACCCCCAGCAGTTACATGGAGCTCATCAGACTCTACTCCAAAATGCTGAAAGAAAATAAAATGGAGTTTGTCAATAACAAGTAAATGCTTGAATAATAAATTTAAACAGCAATTGAATTGCTACTTTGGACTTACGTGTTTAATAATTTTGTTCATGAAGACATGTTTTTGAGACATTGTGACATTGTGATGCTCACAATATAAGATGAGAAATAAAATAAATATTTTATCTTTTCAGAAACCGTCTAAATGTTGGACTGTTTAAGTTGTCTGAGGCCAACTCACTTGTTGGAGAGATGTCTGTAGAGTTAGAGACACTGGGTCCAAAGATTGAAGAGAAACAAAGGGTATAAACATCATACTATATCCTAAAAATTCCCTACTTTTTTAGTTTTAATGAGGAGATAAAATGATAATTTCTTATATAAAACTGCATAGCACACAGTGTGAAAGGGCTTGAAAATAACCCGGTATACAGTATATATATTTACAATCCCCGACTTCTTCATTCTAGGATATAAATTCATTTTAAGATTCAAAGCTGCCTATCACTTATTGCAAGAAATGAACTTTTTTCATTGAATTTACTAAAAGTGCTGGATTAGAAGATGTTAAGAAAATAAATTTTCTTTACACTAGGACACAGAGATCCTGTTAGAGCAGTTAAAGAAAGACCAGGAGGCTGTACAGGAAGTACAGGAGATTGTGGAACAGGAAGAGGGAGTGATGCAGCGGGAGACACAGATCGTACAGGACTATGCTGATGTAAGAGTTCAAAGATGTGTCTAATGATACATGTATTCATCTCACACAGGAAAATAAATTCTCATGTTTTTTTGTTAAATTAGCAAGTATCTGGGTGCATTCCTCCATTTATTGCTTGTAATGGTCTACATAAAAAAAATTGCATTCTTAACTTTTTGATTTTTACAGGAATGTCAGAGAGATCTGTCGTCAGTCATTCCCACTCTGATCATGGCGACTGAGGCCTTGGATACCCTGGACAAGGCAGCCATTTCTGAGATTCGAGTGTACACTAAGCCGCCATTCCTAGTGATGACTGTCATGGCTGCTGTCTGTATCCTGCTGCAGAAGAAGCCTGACTGGATGGTGGCTAAAACACTACTGGGAGATCCCAACTTCTTAAAGAGGCTCAAACAGATTGACAAGGATAGTCTGCCAGACAAGGTAAAGGGTCAATCATGAAATAGAAACCTTACAATGAAATGTTGTGGAATTTGTATTGATTTTTTGAGAAGTTTTAAGTTGAATGAAAAATAAATTTGATCTTTCTTGAATTCCCTAGGTTTTCCACAAGCTGAAGAAATACTCTAAGAATCCAGATTTCAATCCAGATAAAGTGGGGACTGTCTCCTATGCCTGTAAGTCTATCTGTGCCTGGGTGCTGGCTCTGGAGCATTACAATGAAGTCTACAAGGTGAGATAAAAGCTTAATATGTTCATTCAAGAGAGAGAAGACTTGTTTCATCAAACGATCATATATGGATAAAATTCACTCACTTCCATATTTCATTTATCACAGATGGTAAAACCAAAACAAAGGAGAGTAGAGGAAGCAAAGGAGGCACTCCAGCTGGCAGAGCATAGCTTGGCTCAAAAACAGAAAAGTCTCAAGAAGGTATACCTAACTAATAAAGAGACATTCTAAATGAAAAATAGGTTGCATTTGATATTATTGTCAATAAAAGATAATGTACAACTTTTTTCTCACCTTATTCAACAAAGTATCATTTTCATACACTGATGCCTTTGTTACTATAGATTCAAGACCACCTGAATACCCTACAACAACAATACAGAGACAGTGTAAATCAGAGGGAATCTCTCAAACAACATAAAATCACTACTGGGCTCAGACTCAAACGAGCCTCCATACTCATCGATGCCTTGGGGGGAGAGAAGGTGAGATTAAATCTTCTAAGTACACAAAAAAGGGATTCTTTTAAACATTATCATGATAAGACATCAAAATGCACGTATATGCAGTAATCCAATAAACATTAAATGGTTTGAAGCTGGTTTCGTCTTAAACTTTAGACTGAAGAGTAGGGAAGGGTTCTGTCCATCTGTTTGTTTGGATGTCTGTACACAATTTGATATTTTGGTTTCAGCAAGTATTTTTTAAACCTTTATGAAAAACTTTTATCTTGGTGAGTGCTAAAGGACCTTTTAGTCATAAGTGTACATTTTTCTTATGATTTATATCTGCAGGTAGCAGAGTATTTCACAGACCCTTCTTTTCAATAACTTTTATAGGTAAGATGGGCAGAGTCTGTGAATGTACTGGATGAGAAGTTGTCAGGACTGGTGGGGGACACATTAGTAGCTGCCGCGGCTGTGGCATACATTGGACCATTCACAGCCAAGTACAGGAAGGAACTCATCTCGTCCTGGGTGGACCTGTGTAAACACTACAACATTCCTATCTCCAAAACCTTCGATCTAGTCAAAAGCACTGTGGATGCTTATCAAGTAAGTTCAAAGGCAAAATTGGGACCAACAATTTGTTAGGTCATGAAGAATAGATTAGATAGGGAATCTGGATCTTTTTAAAGGTATTACCTTCTGATCTTTGGTTTAAGGAGTATATATAATAAGAGCCAATTTTGGCCCCCTAAAAATCAACATTTTAGAATGACATTCAGGTATGTTTAACTGATATTATTTTGAAGATGAGATTATTTTAGAAATATTTCTAATATATTTTTCACATTTATATGCACTCTGTAGCTGTAAATGGCATGAGAAATAATGCTAAATTTGCTATTTAACAAAAAAAGCCAAAAATATGCCTTTTTCTTGATGTTTTTTCTTATGGGAAACATAAAGCGCAGTTTAGAACATACATAATTTTTCTGTCACTAATCAGTGTTGGATAGATACATCTTTGGTAAAAATATGAAGCTTGTTCTAGGCTGCGCTCTATATTTTCTGGAAGAAAGACTGCTTGAAAATAAGCAGTTTTATACAAAATATGCTTAAATGGCAGGAAAACGGGATTTTTATGATGTCATATTTCTAAAATAACGGCATTTTGATCAAAATAAAAATAATCAATAAAGGTCGCATATATAGCTGTACAAATTAAAGCTTTATATAAAGTTAAATAAAGATATTCATTTTAAGGGGCCAATTGAGACACTTACCATATATCGCTCTTCGCAGGTTTTAAAATGGCAAAATAAAGGCTTACCACAGGACAACCATTCCACAGAGAATGCTCTGATAGTGAGGAAAACAAAAAGATGGCCATTGTTTATAGATCCACAGGGACAAGCTGTCAAGTAAGTTAAAACTCTTAAGTGTAATGGGAAAAATGAAGAAAAATGTTGAGAAAAAGACAAGCTAAAACTAATGTCAATGGAAAAATTTCATGAAATAAAGAAAGTTTATTAAACTTTTTTCCTAGTTATATCAAAGAGAGAAAGGGAAGTGGCCTGGAGGTTGTGGATGCCTCTGATCCTAACTACATGAAAACACTGGAGACGGCCATTAGAGTAGGACAGCCCATGTTACTGAAGGTATAACAACTGAAATATAACACTGACATTGTGAATTTTAATATTGTGTTGGGAAGGGTTCTTTGCATGATCTTTTTGCTGATTTAATGTTTCATATTTAAGGATGTTTCTGAGCAGCTGGATCCTGCCCTGAGACCAGTCCTTTTACATGAGACCTTCCAAAGGGGAGGGCAAACGGTCATCAAACTGGGAGACACAGAAATAGAGTACAACTCTAAATTCAGGTAGAGTTTTTTTTTCATCAAAGTCTGCATGGATATCTTCATGGGATTTTGTGGTTTTAATTTTAATTTTTTCACAATGGAACATTTCAGGTTGTATATGACAACTTCAGTGGCCAACCCCCACTATTTACCAGCAGTTTATATCCAGGTCAACATCATCAACTTCACTGTCACATTCGATGGACTCCAGGAGCAACTCTTGTCTGCTGTTGTCAGACAGGTATTTTATTTAGATTTTCTTTGATATAAGCATTGATTTATATGTTTATACTGTATGCATTACAGGTTTAATTATGTTCTTTGCATTATAGGAAAAACCTATTCTAGAGAGTCAGCGCAGTGACTTATTAGGAAGTATAGCAGACGATGTGAAGGCCTTGAGAGATTTAGAAGACAGGTCACTCAGCCTCCTCCAAAACACAGAAGGTAGGAAATTCTCTGTTCATTTTCAAAAATGATTTAAACTTTATGGTGTATCTTTTATAGCTGAGATATGCAGTGATAAAAAAAATAAAACGAATCTTTTTCAATTTTCAAATGAATGAAAAGGATTCCATGATGCAGGTTGTTTTTTCCCTCTTATATAGGCCACATTTTGGATGACCAGGACTTGGTGGACACATTACAGCAGAGTAAAGGAAAGTCAACAGAGATCACAAAGAGAGTGGCTCAATCTGAGGAGACCGAGAAAAAACTCAACCTGGCCAGAAAACGATATCTGCCGGTATGTACTAACAAAAAACTCAACCTGGCCAGATAACGATATCTGCTGGTATGTACTAACAAAAAACTCAACCTGGCCAGAAAACGATATCTGCCGGTATGTACTAACAAAAAACTCAACCTGGCCAGAAAACGATATCTGCCGGTATGTACTGACATGTGAATGACTGGATATATGTATGTTTTAGGTATTCTTCATCAAAAGTAAGATCCCTAAAAACAAGAAATTTAGATCTGAAAACTAAAAAAAAAAAATTTCATGAACAATTCCTAGATACTTCATTTGCATTGGTCAAACTTTAGGATCTATTGCTTCTCACTTGTTTAGAAGTACATGTTTCTGGTCCTGGTTTGTTATAATTCTCTTCATTGGAAATTTTGCATTTCAGGTTGCCACTCGAGGTGCTACTTTATACTTTGTTTTGGCTGATTTGGCCCAGATAGCTGTCATGTACCAGTTCTCCCTGGACTGGTTCAAGGACATGTTTATCTCCTGTATCAGTAACCCACAACTGACCCACGGTCAGACGGACCTGGCCCTGCTTCAGGACGGACAGAAAGGTGGGCGAAGGAAGTCTAGTCTGGCCCACTTAGTGGGCACTCTGAGGCCCAGCAGTAGGCAGGGCAGTGTCTCCTCCACACCCAGGCCCAGTATTGCTGAAGTTCTGAAGGAGACTCCAGCAGAAAATCCTGTGGAACTGAAAAAACATATGTTGGAGATGATAACAAGGTTAGTTAGAAGTCCTTTAGTTGACAAATTTGTAGACATAGAAGTAATTTGATTAGTTAGTTGTAAGTTGCTTCCTATATTTAGAAGACACTGAAAGTAAAGATGTCTTTTCATGGCATGGACCAAGAAAAAAAAAGAAAATTCCTGTTATGATTCTTTGGATGTTATAAGGTCTAATTTTTTTGTTGCCTGTGTGTGTTGTCTAGGTTGACATACAGTATATACCGTGTGGTGTCTGTGGCACTATTTGCTCACCACCAGTTGACCTTCTCCTTCATGCTGTGCTCCAGTATAATGAGAGCCAATGATAAATATGAGGATGTCACCACCATTGGGAAGATCTGCGAGTTTGACTGGAGTGTTTTTCTACAGGGTAATATCCTGGCTAACATGATGGATGAGAAAGATATCCAGGAATATGACGGTAGGTCAAATAATGCAAACTGATGAATTGTAATATTCACTTATTAGTTTGTCAGATCATTATAAATGACTCATCTCTTTTGGTAAAACAGAACCATGTTAAATTAAAAGTTAATTTTTATTGAATGAAAAATTGTTTATACATATTTGCAGTCATGAGATTTGCCTATGCTAAGTTTAGACCCCTATTTTCTTCAGGTTTGACACCCATGGAGCGACTTGAGTATCAGGCTAGGTCAGGGGATCCAAATGCCCCTCCCAAGAAAGCGCCCCCTATCTGGGTGACTGATGCCATGTGGCGCCAGTGTCAGCAGTTGGAGAGCAGTATGTCCAGTTTTGCCGGACTCTGTAGAAGTCTGATTACGGACCATCTCCACTGGGAACTGCTCAAACAAATGGAGGATCCCTACAAAGGCATGCAGACAAGTTACAAGGAACTGAGTAAGTTTTGACTAGGATTTTGTTTGATTCTTGTAAATTTTAGTGAGGTTGTTAATGCAGACTATTCTGGAAACAATTTATCATAGAAAATATTACAATTATTCAGATATTCATTTTTTTTTCATTTAAATCTAAGTGGTATCTCTAACAGATACTCATGATATTCTAAAAAGATCTTTTTTCAATGACCCTTATAATTGCTTTATCATTATTGAAACAATGAGGAGATTTAAAAATTGTTTTAGCTGGTGATGATCCTAAACACAAATATGGAACAATATTTGCCTGGGAGAAATTGTCAGCCTTCCATCGACTGATCCTGATCAAGATCCTGCGACCTGATGCCTTGATGACCTCCATAGGTCAATTTGTGGAGCAGCACTTGGGACCTAACTTTATATCCTCTGGGTCATTTGATCTGAAGGAGATTTATGATGATTCTTCAGCTAAAACGCCTCTCATCTTCATCCTCTCACCAGGTATACAGCTAAGTCATAACTTTTACATGTAGTTTTCAGCCATTTTAGTTTTGTTTGCAGCCTTAAGTTTATTCCAGGCAGTGCATGTCCTATCTTAGAATTCTTTTGAAAGATATCTTACCATACATTAGAGAGATATCCAATATTACCAGGTCTGATTCATTTTGATTTCTAAACATTATTCATTATTGATCTCAGGAACCGACCCCCTAGCACAACTGGTGAGGTTTGCAGAAGATCTTCGAGGCAGTGCCTTACACCTGGATATGATCTCCCTGGGACGAGACCAAGGCCCCAAGGCAGAGGAGCTGATCTCCAAGGCACAGATCCTCAAAGGCCGCTGGGTGTTCCTACAGAATTGTCACCTAGCAGCCTCCTTTATGCCTAGGCTCCAGGCCATTGTGGAAAAGTAAGTCAGATATTGTTATAGGACATCTCTTGTTTTGCTATGCCAACAGGCTAAATTTTGCTGATTTATTTTTATTTCATATCCTGCTACACTATTTACATGGCTAAGTCATGCTGGTGCAGCTTTTATTTTGCTACACTGTTATTTTGTATTACACAGGCTAAGTCACGCTGGAGATGACCTTGATCCACAGTTCCGACTTTGGCTCAGCTCCAAACCCGATCCAAGTTTCCCAATATCCATACTACAGACTGGAATGAAGGTAGGAGTCAGCTTTGTTACTTTCTGGATTTTAATGGGTTACCAGGCCATACTGATTATCATTACATATCATTCTTTCATAAATCATCAGATCAGTGTGCATTACTTGAATGCATGATGTGATGGCCAGTTGTTTAGAAAATTACGTCTTCAGTGTTTCAATTCACAAGCAAGGAAATGCAAGAGTATGTTTTCCTTTGACAGATGACAGTAGAGCCTCCACAAGGCCTGAAGTCTAACATGCTGCGGTCGTTTGGGAGTGGGGGGACGGGAACCATCACGGAGAAGAAGTTTGAGTACAAGGAGGCAGGGCCTGACTGGCAGAAACTCCTGTTTGGTCTCTGTCTATTTAACAGTGTCATCCACGAACGCAAGAAATATGGCCGCCTGGGATGGAACATTCTCTACGGCTTTAATGATTCTGATCTCTCTGTAAGGATGTTTTGGTATCTTATTGAAGATTATCTGAAACTCCTAGTTCTCATTTTTATGTGGCAGTTAATTAATGAAATTATTCACAACCTAATGACGAAAGTCAGATTTTGAATTTTTTTTAGTAAAGATTCAGGAATTTCATCAGTCTTATTTTTACTGCTGTTCACATGATTCTTGTTTAAAATACTCCAGAATTTTAACGTGAAATGTAACATGTAGTATGCCATCCTTAAAGAATAACATTTTCCCCCTACATAGGTGTCTGTGCGACAGCTGCAGAACTTACTTGAGGAGCATGATGAGATTCCGTGGGAGGCCTTGACCTTCCTGATTGGGGAGGTTATTTATGGAGGTCGTGTGACAGACGAGTGGGACATGAGGTGCCTGGGGGCCCTCCTCAAGAGGTTCTTCTGTCCCGAGGCCCTGACCCCAGACTATTCCTACTCACCAGACGGGGTAAGGATCTTATTCTGTTACAAGCATGGCTGTCAGATGTGTTCATGTGGTACCTAAACTTTTATGACTAGTTGTGTTTGCTTTATGTATGTGTAAGATCACAGAGATGAATAGATAATTATCATCATTTTTAGACTGTATGCATGCATGTTGTTAATTTTTTTGAATATATTTTTTTTTATAATTTAAATTTTTGTCAAGTCTGATGTATGCAGGTTAGATCTTGTTTTACATGTATGCATATCCTAATACATGACTAAAATTTAAGCTTGAGCAAGAACTGTAGCAACAATACAGATTTTATTATTCATATTTTAAAATGAAAATGAAATTCTTTCATTGAAAACAGGGTTGTCTTTGATGATTTTGGAAGTTATATATATACCACCTACCCCAATAATAGTTACTGTATACAGGGTTATTTTCACCCCATGTTATTTTTGCCTTTTTACACTTGCTAACGATTTTGCCCCATTTTAAATTCACCCAGTCACAGTTCTGTTTAAGAAATTATACTGAATTCTTTGAATTCGACCCTTCTGAAATTCGCTCACTTGTGACAAGGGCGAAAGGGATTGAGAAAATAAAACGGGAGCAAAAATTTACCTGTACACAGTATAGCCTTGTACAATTAATGGGGGAGAAAATAGACACATGTTAACATGTACTACTTAAAGTGAAAGTGACATGTATATTTCTGACCTGAAAATACATGCAATTAATCTGTGAACTGTCTTGTATAAATAATTTTAATCTACCATATAGGTTGTTCATAAGGTAAGCTGGAGTCACCAGTGTACACTGCATATGAATGGTGTACGATAGTTTGCATGAGAAGTAAAGATGTAGCCTGAATAAAATTAGGGTTACATTGATACAAATCTATAAAATTATGATTTAGAGAATATATGACAAAATATTTGCATCATATAGGAGTAGTACTGATATTTTACATTTGAGGTTTGAAACTGATATACAAACCTATTCATTAATTTGTCAAAGCTGCAATTATAAGGATCATAATTTCCTGCATGTACTGGATTTATCATCTCAAATGTAAAAATAACATGAAATAATTTGGCTAAAAAGTTCTCCATGATATGAACTTGATGGTAGATAATCAAATCTTTGAGAAATCATAAGGTTTCACAAGATTTGATCATGTGACCAACCAAGCTCATTTCCCAATGAAATTTTTATCCTTGCAGATGTTTATTTCTTATACATATATGTACTTTGCATGCATTGAATGCATTTGTCTGAAATTTGCAAATACTGCATGACTCTTTAAGTGTAGATATATATGTAGATTTGCTCTGAAGCCAATTCTATTTTTGTTCTGTATATTAGTATTATCTCTTTCAGTTCTCTTTGTATAATTAACAAATTTTGATACCAAGTAATTCTAATGAATAAAAGATGTAAAATATATTTATGACAAAATCATATTTTTTATTACATGATAAGAATTTTCGATTCAGAAGGCGAAGGTTATATGAACCTCATGCAGGTCAAGGTTTTTAGAACATCCTCATGCAGGTCAAGGTTTTAAAATCGTATTAAGGAGGCTGGAGGTCAACAAATTAATCATAAATTAACCACCAGATTTAACTTATTTTTTTAGATATGGTATCTTAAGCTGTCAACTATCATGTGGCAAAGAAAAAATTCATACATTTTAGTTTTAAAATTTGATCATTTTTGTATATCTTTATATGGAGTTCTTCTTTTAAAGGAGATCAAAATAGTCTGAAAATGCCTGCCACACCCCAGCCTCGTTAAGTAATGAAATGCTACTCTTTGCACAAATCTGTCTCATATTCTTTCTCTGCATATATGCCACAAATTTTAGAAAGGTATATTTAAAAATTATTATTATAGTATAAAATCTTTGATATGCTTTACATAATAAAGCATTCAGTATTTACGATTAAAGTAGAATTAACATAGCTTTTACCTACATGTATCTATTGAATGTTGCAGCTAGTCAAACATAAAATGATTAAATAATGAAATCAAAATTGACATAGAGACCATTTTCAATTTCATTGTTAAATAGTTATGCATTGTAAGACAGCCAAAAGTCTGTAATAAAAGTATATCTTAATATGTTAATAGTGATTGAATAAGATTGTGTTTTTTTTTTTTTTTACTTATCCTCTTGCCAAATTAGGCTTTGGGATTACCGGAGTATAAACTGCATGTTTATCATAATTATGGTTTTGAACTATAGCTGTCATGAAAAGCTGTGGTGTATGATATACCAATGAGAGTTTTTAATGGTTGTTATATAACATTAATTGTTCACATATTTTACATATTAGTTATGCTATCTTATTTTGTTTTTGTTTTTCTTCACTCCAAATCTTCATTTTCTTAATTTGCATCCCCTTTTTTGGGGCACTTTGTTGCTGTGTGTTAATTGATTCAGTAAGGATATCTTGCTACTGTTGTAAATGAACATAAAAATTTTAATGAAACTTCATTATACTTTTATTTTTAGCTTTATCGTCCCATAAAATCAGACATCCCATTCTCTGAGGTCATAACTTATTTGGAGAGCCTCCCAAACTACGACTCGCCCGAGCTGTTTGGAATGACTAACAATGCAGAGAAGGCGTGTCGTGAAATGCAGGCCCAGGATTTGATTGAAACCATTATAAATGTACAACCAAGATTGTCACTGGATATCTTAGGGTATGTAATAGTACAGCCAATTTTAAATAACTTAACTCGTGAACTAGAAATCAATCCTTTTTTCGAAGGTTGCATGATCATTCTGAATTAGTTCCAGTCTTCATATAAACACGCTGTTTGCCCACCATTGTGGTTATGAGACTATATCTTTCCAAAAATAATAATTGCTGAAATGATCCTAAAATTTCCATACTTATTAGACACACTTCCACTTTTACAGAACTGAGAAGAGTAATGATGATGTGGTACTGGAGGTGGCCAATGATATCCTGAGGCTGTTACCGGTCAGTATAGAGGAGTTTACAGACGTCAGGGAGTCCCATGGGGCACAGATCCAGAACATCCCCCGACCCACACTCAAAGACATCCTCTTTAAGGAGGCACCAGAACTGAAAGACAAAGAGAAGGAAAAAAGTAGGACTTTAATTAACTTGATCTGCCAGAAATGTGCATGTAATGTGATTGTGCTCAGATGTCTGTTACGTAAGATATTGGTTCACATTTATTGGGGGAACTTACTGGTAGCTAAAGGGTTTGGAGAAGGTTATGAAGCACATAAATTTAATAATATGTTGTAATAATGACAGTTAATTGGTACAAATTTTCTTGCATATGGGGGGAATCTTGATATTAATAGTTATTTCTATAGGCTTACTTCTAGCCAAGTTAGAAGTGAGGATTGCTTGTTATGTCCTGAGATTCAGGATACAGTAGGTGGCCTTTTTAATGAGATATTTTGCTTTTTTATTTCAGTTGTACAGGAGGCCATTGATACAGTGGTGGGTAACTCTGCCTTGATGACCGTCCTCCGACAGGAAGTGGACCGTTTTAACAATCTGTTGTCCATCATCCACGAGTCCCTGAAGGCCCTCATCCTGGCCGTGAAGGGGGAAGTCATCATGTCAGAATCTCTGGAGGAGGCCTACACAGCTCTACTTAGTCAGAAAGTCCCTCAGAACTGGAAGGTTAGCTAGTCAATTGGGCTGAAGCTTCTACAGCAAAACATACACTCCTAAAGGATTCTAAAAGATATTAATAGAAACTACTCCATTATCATGAAAATTGTTCAATTTAGATTAATTAAGACTTATATGAATTAATTTTGGTTTACATTTTCATTAACATGTATGTAATTGAAATTTCTTGAGTTAAATTTATAATTCTGAGACTCTTTTCAGAGTGCATCCTACGAGTCTTGTAAGCAGCTAGGATCCTGGACACATGATCTGTTGATGAGGGTGGAATTCTTTGCCACTTGGGCTGGTCTTATTTGTGAAAATGTAGAGAAAATCATCAAAGCTAACCTTCTGACCACCAAACAACAGACGACAGCCCCTCCACCAGATTTAGAACCAGAGGATCTCACCAGGAACCAGCCCAGGGCCTTCTGGTTATCTGGTTTCTTCTTCCCACAAGGTATTTATATCTATCAAACAACAAATCATATTTTTCTGTTTTACATGCAATGCTGCTTGTTATGGCTGAAAATGCAATAAGTTTATGATTAACAAATCTTATTTTATAAAACAGGATTCCTAACGGGAGTTCAGCAGAATCATGCCAGAAAGCTGGGTATCTCTGTGGATTCCCTTGTGTTCAACTTCCATGTGAAAACCAAATCCACTGACACTGAGGAATCTCTGAGTGATCTCAAACACAAACACTCCATTAAAATTACTGCATTTAAGGTGAAGAAATCTGAGATGTTTTCAATATTTTGTTGAACTGGATAAATATTTGTATTGGACATAGATTTGTTACAGGTGCATTCTTTTTCTAATCTGTAATAATTTTAATTTTAATGCCTTTTATAACATATCATGTATTGGTAATGTTTTGCTCTTCTTTTTAGGGTAACAATGCCCCTGAGAATGGGGTAATGGTGTTTGGTCTCTTCCTGGATGGTGCATGCTGGGATCCCAATCATGAATGTCTGAATGACTCCAGGCCTGGGGAGAGATTCTCCAAGCTTCCAGAAATTCATTTTGAACCAGTACAGGTACATTTACATCAGTAAATTCAATGGCTTCCTGAGAAGTTTAAGGTTCACTGTGCAATAGTGCAAAGGTGCACTGGAATTTGTTTGAATGACTCCTTTTCAGTGATTGTCCTTTAATCATGTTAAAAGTTGAATTCAGTGTGCGAAGTTTGTAATTGTATCTATTATCCATAGACCTTAGAAATTGTGATGATATCTTAACGATCTGAATCAACCAAACACAACCATCTTTTCCTTTCAGATTTCCACTTTGTCCACTCCAACAGAAACTAATGAAGCCACTACAAGCAGTACTAGTGTACCGACAAAACAGACTTACAAATGTCCACTATACCGGACATCAGAGAGGGCGGGGACTCTGTCCTCCACTGGACACTCCACAAACTTTGTCACCGCTGTAGATTTACCGTCCAAACATCCGTCCGACTTCTGGGTGATGAGAGGAATCGCCATGCTGTGTCAGTTAGATGACTGAAGTGCTGAGTTGGTAGTTTTCTACAATAACTACATTATATGTTACTTGTCTAATGCATTATTTTTTTAATGTTGTTTTTGGAAAAAAAAGTTAACATATTTGTTGAGAGATTTGTATAAATTACACATAATTTTGTTTGTTTTATTGCTGCTGACAGAAACTGTGATTTAATATACAGACTGCTGAATCCACCTTTTATCTGTTCTATGAAATGTTAAGGGTAGCATTTAAAAAAAAGGATTTCCTATTTAATTCAATGTGATATTTATAGAAGACTGTGCCTTGTATATCAATATTCCTCAGACTGCTGAACCCAACTAGTGTATGTATTATGTTACTGTTTATATTACAGCTTGTTGTATATATATGTCACACAGAGTTGAACTTATTTTATTATATTAGGAGCAAGAATCCTGATTTTTATTTAAATGATGTCTAATGGGTATTTTACATACCATATTGTCCCGAATACCAAACTCTTACTTCTGTGATAACGTTGGCATGTACCATAAACTTGTTTTGAAGACAACAAATAAAAATTGAAATTATTTTCTCTGGAGTACTTTCTCATCAAATATCTAACACAAACTGTCAAACAATGGGAAAACTTGATCTCATAATATTTATTTATATAAACCTCAAATTTTAAATGCAGTTGGCAATATTTGACCATTTTATCAAAATTAATTTTCCATTAACCAAAGATCTTTTTCTGAAAGTATGAGTGATGCTTCTCTTGAAGGAAATATCTGAATTGCAATGCAAACTTCCCTCTTGTACTGCACTGCAATGCCTTGCAATTTTCCTGAATGGAATTTCTCTTGGAATTTTCCTCCATTCAATATGAAATATGGCAGTATGATGATCCTGGTTTGCAAATGACCTATCTAAACACAGACTGCCAAATATTGCGGAAAAAAGTATCTAATTGGGTTTAAAGGTACTTGGACACAGATTTGAAGTCAATATTTTCTCTATAATATCACGACTTATATATTTTAATAGCATTTCACACAAAAATTATTAATAATTTAAAATCTTACATCATTTAAAAGTTATTAAAACTTCAAATTTTTTGGCGGGTTTGATTGACTCATCCTTGCACTTTCACTAATTTTAACCTTATTCTTAATCCCTAGGAAAAGTGGCAATCTTGTTGTGTATTAATGAGAAATATTAAAACTTTTATCCAGAAAAATAATTTTATTCAGAGTAGAAATGTTAAAAACAAAACTCCTTCACAAGTATCGTCATTCCAAACTAAGAGTTGCGTACAGAGTTTAGCAAATCGAACACACTCGTGTTATGTACACAGTTTTTGTAAACAGGGCATGAGTTCTGTTTTTGTTGATGTTTACAATTCAACGGGTGCGTTCAGTCGTCACAGTCTGCTTACCACAACTGCACGGACTGCCAATATATTGTGAGTTTGTTTTGCTTTCAAACATGTCTACTCTGAATTTTCTGCATTATAGTATTAATATTTTTCATTTATACACAACAAGATTGCCACTTTTCCTAAGGATTAAGAATAAAATTAATTTATGAAAGTGCAAGGATGTGTCAATCAAACCCACCAAAAAATTTGAAATTTTAATATCTTTTAACTGAAATAAGATTTTTAATTAATTTTTGTGTGAAATGCAATAAAAATATATAAGTCGTAATATTATAGAAAAAATAATAACTTAAAATCTGTGTCCAAGTACCTTTAAAATGACATTGAACTATAATAAGGTTTACCACCAATTCTGTATGTGTGTAAGTCATAGGGACATAATAAGTGGAGTTATCTAACTTGAGTAAGAAGTGACATCAATTATGCAAATTTCAAAACCTTTTTCTGAGGCGAAGTCAAGATTTGTATAAAAGGATATCTTTGAAGGGTGGTGGTGGGCAAATTCCTCCGCTGTACAAGAAGAGATCTTGTGCTTACTTGAGGGAAAAATCTGAATTGCAGTACGAAAAGGCCTCTTTTATTGCACTGCAATGTTCCTAAATGGAAGTTCTCTTGGAATTCTCACCATCAGTCTTTCACTACACAACGATATTGTAGTCAACGATGTATATTGTCTTGGTTTTTCATCACACGATGCATTCTGGTCCTGCAAATCAGTTTTAGACAAGAGCAACAACTGCAAAACGTTGCAAATAAAGAAATAAAACTCAAATTTTAAATGCAATCGGCATTGTTTGACCATTTTATCCAAATCAGTTTACCATGAACCATAGATGTTTTATTGAAAGTATGAGTGCTGCTGGTTGATTTCTGGTTTGCAAATGACCTATCTAACACAAACTGCCAATTTGAAATATTGCGAAAAGATGAAGAAAACATTTTGATCTTGTAATATTTTAGCTGCATTGTTCCTAAAAATTATGCACTGTCTTTACTTCCAATACTGATAAAAACAGTTTACGCAAATTGGTGAGGCTGGGTATTTGCAGGTCCTAAGTCAATCTTGCCAATGATTACTAAAAGTGCACCATCTGATGTAAACCGAGGTTATTTAAATACATTCAACATAATCGACTGAAAACCTCTTTTAGATATTATGTTGTGGATATATCTATTTGTTGAATAATAATTTCATAAAACTTAAATACAAGGAGAGAGAGAGAGAGAGAGAGAGAGAGAGAGAGAGAGAGAGAGAGAGAGAGAGAGAGAGAGAGAGATGAATTGAATTGAGTTGAATTGTTACTTAAATTTGAGCTTTGAAATAACATTAGTATTTTGGATACAGGGTGTTTCACAATATGTGTCACATATCTAAAGACAGATAGATAAATGACAACAAAAGCTACATATACATTTTATATATCATTTGAATCAGCATATATTCAAAGTTATTTTTTTGAGTCAGAAGTATCCAACATTTCCTACTTCAATTACTATGGCAACTCATCCTAAAATGTTATTCTCCAAGTGTTTCCCAACATTGTCCTAAATAACTAAATAGACTAATGCATTGGGATTTCTGACCATTGTTTTGTAAGCTTCACAAGATACTTGAGACTTTTTTTTGTTTTATATATTATAATATCTGGCTTTTTAGAACCCCCAAAGTGCATATCTATTTTATTTAAAGTTGCATTTAAATAAATGTGTCGTTTTTTGAACTTTTGATCGGTATGTGTTAATTGGTGTCCACTTCTTTCGCTCTTCCTTTCAGTCAATCTGGCAAACTTAAATCGACTCTGAATGTCAATTGTTGAATAATAATTTCAAAAACTTAAATGGCTTAAAATACTGAAATCTTGTATACAACACACTTAAATCAAATTGAAGATTTCTAAATACACTTGATACACTTATTCGGCATTGTTACAGTACATTTCTTTAAACTCAGATCTAACTTTCATGAGGTCTTCTTAACGATTGACTTCACTTTGATATTGTTCTCATCTCTTTCAGCTGGTTACCCGTTCAGGGACGCTTGATTTTTTTGCATTTGAATTTTTGGGAACCGTGTGGGGGTTGACAGGATTTAACTGTCTTTCATCTTTACATTAAAATTAATCTGATTCAAACTTTTAATTATTGTTAATATATGAAAACTTCGCATTTTCTGGTCTGAATATTTTTCATTATCACATCCTGTACAATATTTATATTTTAGGATATTCTTATAATAAAAGTTTACAACAAATTTTTGCTGCAAGTTGTACTCCATTTTGAGAACAGCTGATATTATGGCATAATCGATTATATAATGAGTTACTTCAGAGTATGTTATAATTTTCCCGATACTTTGCGATATCATAATTTTGGATCGATATCCTAGACCTATGGTGTTTTGGAAGATTTGGTATCTTGCTCGATATTCAGATTATGCCCATTTAGATGTGTGACATATATTTCATAAAACTTAAATACAAGGAGAGAGAGAGAGAGAGAGAGAGAGAGAGAGAGAGAGAGAGAGAGAGAGAGAGAGAGAGAGAGAGAGAGAGAGATTGTGAAACACCCTGTATATATGTCATTGTTAAGTATATATTCATCACCTTTGATCCCACAAATATATTCTAAAAACCTTGATATCAAGTTTCTGCAAATAAAAGCAAATTAATTTGTTCTCATTGTCCGAAGCACTTGGAGGGATCTTATTATTCTCTGAACTTTGATTGTAACAAAATTGCACCTAGGAATTTGGGAGTATTTTACATTGCATATGACAATTCAGTTTTCATATCATAAGATTTCCAGTGGCCATCCGTGCAAGTGAATAGTGAGACCAGACAATAAAGATTAAATGTCTAGCGGTACCGTAATCATACGATGAGAGAAACTCACTCCTTAAAGCCGTCCGCTATTCATTGTTAACTCTCAGCTGGTTACCCGTTCAAGGACGCTTAAGAAGCTGATGTCCTATCAAAATTCATCCAAGAATTCGAGTCGTTGTTGCCAAACTGCATTTGAATTTTTGACACATTTTGAACCGAAATAAGAGAACGGCCGTTTATTAGCACTAGGTCTAACTGGGTTTAAAATGACATTAAATATCATAAGGTTTGCAACTAATTCTGTATGCGTGTAAGTCAAAGGGACATATTAAGTGGAGTTATCTAACTTGAGTAAGAAGTGACTTCAATTATGCAAATTTCAAAACCTTTTGCTGAGGGGAAGTCAAGATTTGTATAAAAGGACATCATCGAAGGGTGGTGGTGGGCAAATTCCTCCTCGGTACAAGAAGAGATCTTGTGCTTCTTTGAGGGAAAGATTTAAATTGCAATGCAAATGGCTCTCTTGTATTGTACTACAAGGCCTTGCAATGCTCCTAAATGGAAGTTCTCTGGGAATTTCCTACCATCAGCCTTTCACTACACAATGATATTTTAGTCAACGATGTATATTGTCTTGGTTTTTCATCACACGATGCATTCTGGTCCTGCAAATCAGTTTTAGACAAGAGCAACAACTGCAAAACGTTGCAAATAAAGAAATAAAACTCAAATTTTAAATGCAATCGGCATTGTTTGACCATTTTATCCAAATCAGTTTACCATGAACCATAGATGTTTTATTGAAAGTATGAGTGCTGCTGGTTGATTCCTGGTTTGCAAATGACCTATCTAACACAAACTGCCAATTTGAAATATTGCGAAAAGATGAAGAAAACATTTTGATCTTGTAATATTTTAGCTGCATTGTTCCTAAAAATTATGCACTGTCTTTACTTCCAATACTGATAAAAACAGTTTACGCAAATTGGTGAGGCTGGGTATTTGCAGGTCCTAAGTCAATCTTGCCAATGATTACTAAAAGTGCACCATCTGATGTAAACCGAGGTTATTTAAATACATTCAACATAATCGACTGAAAACCTCTTTTAGATATTATGTTGTGGATATATCTATTTGTTGAATAATAATTTCATAAAACTTAAATACAAGGAGAGAGAGAGAGAGAGAGAGAGAGAGAGAGAGAGAGAGAGAGAGAGAGAGAGAGAGAGAGAGAGAGAGATGAATTGAATTGAGTTGAATTGTTACTTAAATTTGAGCTTTGAAATAACATTAGTATTTTGGATATATATGTCATTGTTAAGTATATATTC